CACCTCCTCCGTGACCCTCATCGACTCCGAGTTCGTCAACGTCCAAACCGCCATCCGCACCCCGCGCTCCGCCTCCATCGTCCCCATCGCCGCCGGCACCCTGATGATGGAGAACGTCGCCTTCTCCAACGTCGGCACCATCCTCCAAGGCCCCCAGAACAACACCATCATCTCCGGCACCAAGGGCTCCGTCGTCAGCCAGGGCTTCGCCATGGGCCACATCTACACGCCCTCCGGCCCCACGGACTACACGGGCAGCGACACTGGCTACTTCCCCGTCTACAACGCCCTCATCGCCACCACCGCCAACGGCACAAAGTACTACGAGCGCTCCAAGCCGCACTACGAGACTCTCTCCGCCGACTGCTTCGTCTCCGCGCGCACCTTCGGCGCCAAGGGCGACGGCGTCACCGACGACACCGTCGCGCTGAACAACCTCTTCAACTACGTCGCCTCCAAGGGCTCGCTCGTCGCCTTCGTCGACGCGGGGACTTACTACGTCTCCGACACCGTCTTCATCCCCGCCGGCGCGCGCATCGTCGGCGAGGCGCTCGCGTCCATCATCATGGGCGGCGGGCCCAAGTTCCAGGACATCTCAAGCCCGCACCCCGTCGTCAAGGTCGCGCTGCCAGGCGACTGCGGGACGATCGAGTGGTCCGACATGATCGTGTCCACGCGCGGGGCCGCGCCCGGTGCCAAGGTCGTCGAGTACAACCTCAACACGCTCGGCGAGCCGGCGGGCATGTGGGATGTGCACATCCGCGTGGGCGGGTACGCAGGTACGCAGCAGCAGCTGAAGGAGTGCCCGACCACGCCGAACGCCACTGTGACCGCGGACACGCTCGACAAGAACTGCATCGCGGCGTGGATAAGCATGCACATCACCAAGCCGGCGTCGAACCTCTTCATGGAGAACTGCTGGCTGTGGGTCGCGGACCATGATTTGGAGGACCCGACGTACACTCAGGTGACGATCTACGCGGGTAGAGGGTTGCTGATTGAGGCGACCGCCGGCAAGATCTGGCTCTCTGCTTCTGGCGTCGAGCATCACACGCTGTACCAGTACCAGCTGTATCAGACGAGGGATATTTACATGGGAATGATCCAGACCGAGACGCCGTGAGTATTTCCAACATTTCAGAGATAAGGCAAGCTAACGATGACCAGGTACTACCAACCCAACCCAGTCGCCTCCATCCCCTTCCCCCGCGTCAGGGGCTACCATGACCCGGACTTTGTAGCCGACTGCAAGGGCAAGGACGCCAGCGAGGCGCCCTGCGAGATGGCCTGGGGTCTGCGCGTCATCGGCAGCCGCAACATCGCCATCTTCGGCGCGGGGCTGTACTCCTTCTTCAACAACTACAGCACGGCGTGCTGCCAGGTTGGCGCCGGCGCGCGGTGCCAGCAGCGCATTTACGACATCCGGGACTCGCCGAACAACTGCACCAAGACGGAGCACCTGGAGACGTACAACCTCAACATAGTCGGGACGAAGGCGATGGTCACGCGGCACGGCGAGGACGTCGCGCTGTACAAGGATAATATTGCGGGATTCACGGCGGGCATTGCGCTTTATCAGCATGCTTGAGAGCCCTGATTCGTGTATTTCTTAATAGTGCTATAATTGATTCGCCCTCCTGTCATGACCAACAACTGTCCTCCATTCCTCGATTTTGGGCTGGCCTGACCCGCAAAACAAATTAAAAAGACGACGTCCTTGAGTTTCAGACCTTAATCTGATGAATTACACTGCAGTCCCTCCCTTTCTTGATGGCGTTGGTAAGTTGGTAACCCTTGCCCGCCACGCTGTCCGCGGAGCCTTGAATGCAACCGTGCGGAATCCCCGATGCAGACTGGCGCGCTCGCAGCTGTCAAATTGGTGGTCCCATGGATTGATAGCCGCAGGTTCAACAGCGTCCTTGGCGATGTCGTCGACATTGTTCACCTGGCGATAGACCCGAATCTTTGCGAGATGCTCGCAACTACGCGAGAGCCAAGCCTCTCCTTCGAGACTGGACATCTCGCTGCGGTTGTCCCGAAAACGACGTCACTCTGCGAGGATTCCACCCGCCCGGTAGTGAGAGGCCGTCCTGATCTGGATGCAAGCCATTCGCTTGCGCCGGGGTAGCATCAAACGGTTGCCTAGCTGGACACATCCATCAGTGCAGATGCAGGAACTGCCGCTTCCTTTGCGGGGAACTAACTCGCGGGGTAAGGTACATGCTTCGAAGATCTGACGAACACATGGGCTCGGCTCCCACACAAGCACGAGTAATTAATTCTTCTTTGGGGGTGGCTGAGGCCATGCAGTGACAGCGTCCCGCAGTCAGTGTTATTCGGCTAAAAAAAAGGCCAAGAAAAGGGGCACATGGCTACCCGAACCTCTCGGACAGAGCCCCTCCAAAACCTTCACACCTAAACAACAAAGTGCGCAGGCAATGCGCATGAATGAATGTTATCGTCTTGATTATCTGGCAGAGGGCTATCGATTGAAATCATGTCTATACGCGCGCATCACATGTGCACTTTGTTAGATTGACACGGTGAATACGATGTTCCATTGTAGATCCCCTGCACTGACCTGCTATTCTTACTGCTTGTTACCTAGGCGTATCGGATCATGGGCCCGAGTTGCTACCATTCCATTGGTGCGCTACAGTCCACCACGTGGGTTTGCAGAGTCAAGAACGACAGCGTCATGTTGAGGTTGGAGAGTACATAAACCTCCCGGACATGGCTTTGTAAAGCTCAGTCGACCATCATCCCTTCTCTCGTTACGCATCATTCTTTTACGCGTTCTCACCATGGTCCTCTCAACCTTCCTCGCCCTCGCCCTCGCCGGCGCCCCGCTGGCAGCGAGCCAATCGTTCCAGTCAACACCTGTGATGGGATGGAACTCTTACAACCAACTCTCCTGCAGCCCGAACCACGACAAGATCGAGGCCACGATCAACTCCTTGGCCAGCCGGGGCTTCGTCGACGCGGGCTACAACTTCTTCCAGATCGACTGCGGCTGGGCTTCCAGAGATGGACAGCGCAATGACAGCTCTGGCGCCTTGAAGATCAACTTGGACGCTTTCCCACAGGGTCTTCAGCCGCTGAGTGATCTCGCGCGGTCGAAAGGCATGAAGTGGACAATGTACTCTGATGCCGGAGAGAAAATGTGTGATCCTGAGGTTCCGAGTCCTGTCGCTGGCTCACTTGGTCACGAGGCCGTCGATGCGGACTTCTTCAAGAGTCTAGGCACTGAATATGTCAAGTGTGAGTAACACGAGTCGGAGTGCTTCAGAAGGATGTTCCTCTGACTTGCCCGTTAGACGACAACTGCTATGCTTCTGGGTCAGGTGCGGACGACAACGCGCCCAAGTCCCCCAGAGACGACTTCGTGACTCGTTTCACAACCATGTGGAAGGAGCTTCAGCGAGTCGGTATCCCCGGTATGCTTATCTGCCAGTGGGGAGTTCCGTTCTCGTCCTCAAGTGGTCTCCAAGGACCTGCACAGTGGACCAAGGGCCTTTCCACATCATTCCGACTGTCTGATGACATCGCCACCGGTTGGGGCAACGTCTACCGCATTTACAACCAGGCAGTTCACATCGCGAAGTCGGGTCTGATTGGACCAGGCCACATTGCCGATGCTGATCTGCTGGAAGTCGGCAACACTGGCATGACTTTTGACGAACAGGCAACCCATTTTGCCTCATGGGCAATGCTCAAGTCTGCCCTCATGATTTCCACCGATATCGCCGCCTTGTCAGACGAAACCGTCGCCCTCTTGCAGAACAAGGACCTGATTGCCATCAACCAAGACCCAGCGGTCAAGCCGATCCAGCTTGTTCAACGCTGGACCGGAGACCGGGACCTCTGGGCCGGAGACCTCGACAACGGTGACGTCGCCGTCCTCGTTGTGGACCTCACCAACACGGCCCGCAATCTGGACGTGCAGCTTTCGCAACTTAACATTACATCTGCCACCATCAAGGATCTTTGGGACTCAAAGACGGTTGATGGCGCCACCAGCTTCTCCAAGCAGGTCAACGCCCACGGATCTCTCGCGCTGCGTCTCTCCAACGTAAAGCGTGCCTCGGCTCCCGCGACTAGCTACACCTACGTATCCGCTGCAACCGGCTCCTTGTCGTCTGGCGCGAACACCCAGTCTTGCTCTGGTTGCGCAACCTCCAACAAGGTCGGTAACCTGGGTGGATCTTCCGGAGGCCGTGTCGTTCTGTCAAACATCCGGACTTCACAGGCGAAGCAGAACGTGCTGTTCGACTTCATCAACGGTGACATCGGATACCTCGGTGGGGGAAACAACGAGCGCACCGCGTCAGTGACAATCAACAACGGCGCTGCGGTAACTGTTAGCTTCCCTCTGAGCGGCTACAACTGGGACACAGATGTCTTCAAGGGCTACGCTGTTGAGTTGGCAGGATTTGATGTCAATGGCCCGAACACTATCAGCATTTCTGGAGTTGATGGTGGATTTGCACCGGATTTGGACAGGGTGGGAGTGGTAGCGTAACGTTCCTGTATTGAGGCATGGAAAGTAGTTCGCAGAGTTGCCTTCGCTCTTGCCGAATGATGAATTGAAACGAATTGCTGAATCCTCTGGTCAGAATCAAACGAAAATAAAATGCGATGAGAATATTGATGCAAAGCCCACGAGACAAGTTCTAGACGTTGACAGGAATAAGCCGCAGTAAGCAATTCCACAATAATGCGGGAAAGGATGGGTGGCTAGCTCAACACCGTGGACTTATTTTACTCGCGGAGCCTGATTATCGGCCTTGATACGATTGGCTTTCTTCGGCAAGATATTCATAGATTTCCCAGTGGATTTTACTTCTTGAAACAAACAGTCCATGAATAAGACCTCGACGTCTGTTGGATCAGGGCTCCCATTGTGTGTGCATGGGCGGGCAGATATTGGACAAAACCAACCTGCATCCAGTCGTTCCGCCAAAATATACGTGTACAACCATGTCTATAGATATGCCTCATTAGTTCTCGGAAGCTTGTGCTTTCTGAAGTTTAGAAGCAGGCTTCCGCCAAAACATCCTCCTCCCCGAGTCCAGACTGTCACTGGAACCACCATTCCGACGGAGTAGCTGCACAAAAGCCTCATGATTCCCCTTGATTGCTTCCTGGAACGACTTGCCCTTACTATCCGTCCTCTCCTCGCTAGCACTTCTATCCATCAAAAGCATCGCCGCCGACTTCTGCCCCTTCTCGACAGCCATGCTAAGGAGAGAGAGTCCTTTGATATCCTTCGCTTTGATATCCGCGCCCCTATCGAGGAGTAGATCCATTATAGGGCCGCACCCTCTTGACGTGGCATGGAATAGGGGTGTCCAGCCGTCGGCATCTCGTGTGTCAATCGTCGCTCCTCTTTGGATGAGGCTATGCGCCAGTCCCTCGTTTCCTTTCATCGCCGCCATGGCCAGAGGAGTAATTCCTCGCCTAGTACATGGTTCAATCTCGGCTCCTCTGCTGAGAAGCAAGTTTGTTAGGTCTTTGTGCCCTTTTGCGATTGCTACATGCAACGGCCTCCACCCATCTGCATTTTTGGACTCAATGTTAGCTCCTCTGTCGATAAGCAGGCGAGCGACGTCTCTATGGCCTTTGAGAGCGGCAATGCCGAGCGAAGTTTGGCCGTTTCTGGTCTTGACTTCAACTCCAGCACCTAAATCGAGCAAAAGTCCCACTACAGGAGAATTCCCTTGCAAGGCTGCAATAAGCAGAGGCGTGGTACCATGCTGGTTAATAGACTCGATATCGGCACCTCTTTCTGCCAGCATCTGGATGAGCCCCTCGTGGCCCCGTATTGCGGCGATGGACAGCGGGCTGTGCCCCTCGTTGTCATGAGACTCGATCTCAGACCCTCTATCGAGGAGAAACTGCACGGTAGCTTCATGACCTTTGAGAACTGCTTGCATCAACAGTTCCTCCGACGCGTCGTTCAACGGATCGATGGCGTTGTTACCGATAGGCGATAGGCTTTGGAGCAAAGATCCTACCATGGCTTCGTGCCACTGGCTGACACTCTCTTCATCGAGGCGGCCCAGGATATCTTGCGTTATTGTAACAGTTTGAGACAGCGTGCCTCGCCTTTGCTTCAGAATGCGGTCCTGGGCATGAAGTTGCTCGATCTCTCGGGTGGTCTCGGTAAGGCCCTTATTCAGCGATTGCTTCTCCAAGTGCAATTTATCGAGCTGCGATTGAACAGCGGCGAGCTTCTCCCTGTGAATGTCTGCGTTATGTGTTTTCTCTTGGATTTGCAGTCCTATTTGAGAACGTTCGGGTCCAATATCGCGGTCCTCATACAGGAGGTCTCTGAGATAGACCTGGCGTTCCAACTGAGCTCATTCCAGAGTCACATTTACGCTGACTCTTGGGGGCTTGCTCATGGACGCCAGTCTAACGACGAACATCTGACAAGCTCCTACACGTTCCTCGTCGAGCGTTACAAGCAGATTGGATACTCCATTGCTTGCGCTCTGCTTGCCGAATGTATGTTGATTTGTCTCCATAATCTTAGCAGCAATGGTATCCAAGCTGGTGTCCTGCGATGCTGTCATGACGTGACAGCGGGCTTGAACTCTCGATTGGTTGACCTCGAGTTCCAACATCACCACATAGTCGCGAAATTCTTCTCGCTTTTGACGGAATCGAACCCAGGTCCTTTGAACCTGGTCATGGTTGAAATCCACCGTCGTATTGATGGTTGCATTGTCCCTTTCCCAGCGGCCCTTTGGCTCAACTTCAATCATTTCTAACCCAGTCTCGTGAGCTGATTCTTCGATGTAAAATCCGTACCGACGATTGAGAGTCGCGACTGATTCGTTCTGGCGATCTTTACAGATGCGAATGAGCTTGGGAGGGTCCTTAGAGTCCATGCTGCGAAGCAATTTCCCTACGTACCCCTCAGGCCTGATGTACTCTTCAAAGGATCCATCAGAGTTGACGCCGAAAAGGGGAATGCCGACAACAGCCTGTGCGTCATCTTTTGGATGGCAATCCAGAAGACCGAAAGTCTGGTTCATCGTCGTAGTGTAAAGGCAAAGGTGGATACGTAGGTGGCCGCCAAAAACGTATAACGGGTCGATCGAGGTCCCTCTATGTTCTCGACAGACGATATCGCCACTGTTGGCAAAGTCCGAGGGGCTAGAAGCCAAAATACCACCCGAATTGATTTTACCAGTCGGCGTGAGATCTGTTTCAGCTTCGCTGCTGCTCAGGTTCCATGCCAAAATGGAGTCATCCGTATTCCGACGCATAATTTCCTCCTGAAGGCGCCCGAAGGCTTGCTCCCCTTCGCCGTAAATCATAGGCACAGTAACCCCGAACATGCCGAGAAGGCAATACGCAATGTCTTCCTTCCTTTTCGTGACCCTCTTTGCGGCCCAGGACATGCGTTGGGCGACGCTGGCTTCGCGTAGCTCCGCGGTGCCCAGGAGGAACGGCCGAGGTATGCCTGTGATCTGAGCGACGACGGTGGATAACTGTCGTTTCGTGCCCAGGAAAGACCATTCGCAGCTATAGAAACGGACAACGCCAGGTGCTAGAAGCTCTTGAAGGGTCCATCCTCTCTCGAACCAGCGACTTTGTCGAAATTCGGAGTCTGGATTCGACACATCATCGGCGGCCGAGACGTCGGCAAGAAAAGTGTAGCATATAGCGGCCTTTTGATACCATGCGAACATAGAATTGATAGCCTCGCTTAGCTCCGTCGAATTGGCCTTGTCAATGCAGCACGTATCCATCCAGGCATAGTCAAGTCCGTCGGCTAAGGCCTGCTTGCAACACCCGGCGAACTTGTCCCTCCCGACGCCGGTCTTGAAGAAGTCATTCCCTTCTTGCAAATCTCGGAACGAGATCTCTTCATCATCGCTTCCCCATGTGTGTGAAAGAGCGGCGTACGCAGGGGGCTCATGGAAGAGCTCCTCCAATCGCCCAGTTCGTACATTGATCAGACGCATTGATCGCCTTTCAGATTTGTCCTCGCGAAGTGTATCTCAGTGGTTCTTGTTCCAGCCGCTCAAGAGGAACAGTCGGTTGACGGTGACAATGTTGGCAATTGGGGCTCACAATCCCGACGCTGCGCTTGCGGGAGCGGTAGAAGGGGCGGTCGATTGGCAGAGCCTTACGTCGGCAATCTGGCATATGCGCTATATTTTTTGGATATCAATTAGCAAAGTCGCTCTGTTCCGCGCCACTCAACATGCCGTACTTTGAATTAAATGAGAGATTCAAAGGAACGAGTGTCAAGAGAAAAGATGCTGACAGAAAACAGGCCAGAGCCTTGCGATAAATGGTCGTATGGAAGGATTCTCACGCAGCCTTGCTGTGCGCATTCCTGGGTGAGATCTTCCAACGTCCTTGGCAGACTGCTTGTGCGAAGCTGGGGATTCAATGATTGGACGGAAGGCGTGGATGTGCAAATTGCCTGCATGTAAGACATCTTGGAGTACAAGCAGTAGATAGTCCGGCCATATGGCTCTGCCTGGACAGGTGCGATGACAAGAAATGTCTGCAAGGTCAAGTGATATTGATTCATGGTATTATGATGCTACCCGGGAAGGATGGAGTCGCTCTCATGGCTGTGGGTAGCCCGTCAACGCCAAACGCCAAATTTCAGACAAATGTGTTACTCATCACCACCAAGATCCGCCAGAGTCTTGATTGCCGACGCTCTAGGCGGCTGTCTAGCACCGGGCGCGGCGCCTCTGCTCGACTTCATTGGCGGCGGGGGTGGGTTCACCCGGTTGAACTGCGACATCTCGGCCGCCTTCTGCGGATCGATCTACCAGTCCGTCAGCAAACGGTTCTTCTCCCCATCGCCGGCGTTACCCTGGAACCAACTAACCGCAAATAAGGACACAAGGTAGAGACCGATAAAGGTTACCAGGCCGCTGAACAGCCCGCTGAGCTGCCACTGGATAGGACGCTGCAGGCTCGCGCGAGCAGCCTTGTCGCCGCCGAGGGTTCGTCCAGGGGTGCTGAAGGAGGCGCCGCTGCGACCGCTCTTGTCTGGAAGCTTGAGGGCATTCTGGATCGCTTGCGTCAGGGCGGGAGGGTTCGCTCCCTTGATTGTCTCGACTGCTTGGCCGCCGTGGAAGATGATAAACGTGGGCATGGCACTGACACCGTGCGTACGGGCAATGCCAGATTGTTGGTCGACGTTGATCTTGCAAAACGCAACCTTCTTCGGCTTCGAGTATTCTTTCGCAAGGCGTTCGAAATGCGGCGCAATCATCTTGCAAGGACCGCACCAGTCGGCGTAGACTGTCATGATGGTTTGTCAGCGGGACCGGAAGCGCGGGGGAACGATTGTAGGCACTTACAGTCGGCAATCACGACATTGGTGCCGCTGAGGATGCCCTGCCACTCGCCGGCGGACTGTACACTGATAAGACTCATGATGTCGAGGTGCGATATAGGAAACGGGAGTCAACGCAGCGACTTGAAGTTGAAAGGAACAGCTGGACCGCTGTGTAGCTGACGGAACCTGTCGCGACCTGGTCCTAGCGGAAAGGTGGCGGCTGCCAAGAGTAGAAAGCGGTCAGTTGTCGATCCGTCATTCTGCCGGGCAGGGGTCTAGCGTACCCCGGAATTGATACCGCCCACTGCGGGACCAGCTCAGAAAGTTTTTGGGAACCGCTAAAAGTTGCATCGACTTGCAAACCACCATCAACAGCTCTGCAGGTCGCCGAAATGTCTTACGATCAGAGAACAAAGGTGGGACAGCTGCATCTTTGATCTTTCCCAGGGACTCAACTGACCAGCAACAGCGCAGAAAAACTGGCGAAGACGAATATGTCGACACCACCCAGCCGTCGGCCAAGTTCTACGCCTACCCCGGAGGCCGTACGTGGACCATCTCGGTTGCGATCCCTACCAGCATAATCGCAGAGTGCGTTGCTGTCTCACCTAAACGTCTCGAAGCGAAGCTAATCTGGATCTCACAGTGCTGTCAACGCTGAGCGCCGTACCGCCGTTGCCGGTCGCATCGCTCGTGCCCTTGGAGTCTTCGGCATCGACGAAGTCGTGATCTTTGACGACAGCCCCATCGAGACCCGCCCCAAGACCGTCGACAGGAAGGCTTACACCGGCGACATTGATCCCGGCCACTTCCTCGAGCACCTCCTCGGCTACCTCGAAGTCCCTCCCTTCATGCGCAAGATGCTCTTCCCCCTCCACCCGAACCTGCGCCTCGCCGGCCAGCTCCCCTCCCTCGACATGCCGCACCACCCGAACCCGGCCGATTGGATGCCCTATCGTGAGGGTGTCGCCAAGAAGGGAACCCCGAAGGGCACCGAGCTTGATCTTGGTCTGAAGACGCCCGTCATCATCGAGGACGAGGTTCCGCCCAATACCCGCGTCACGGTCCAATTTTCGGATTACGACACTGAGAAGGCCGAGGCGTGCGATCCGGCAGCGCCTAGGGAAGAGGGGGGCTACTACTGGGGATACAGTGTCCGCAGGGCGGCCTCTCTGTCAGCTTTGTGGACAGAGTGCAAGTACGAGGATGGTTACGATATCAGCATTGGCACGTCCGAGCGTGGGCGTTCCGTCGGCCAATCATTCCCCTCGACGCCGTTGGACTTCAAGCACCTGTTGATCGTCTTTGGCGGTCCCAGAGGAATCGAGTATGCGGCGGTGAACGACAAGGAACTCGACATGGTAGATGTTTCTGGGGGAAAGACAAAGGAGCTCTTCGACCACTGGATCAACGTCCTCCCAGGACAGAACAGCAGGCAGATCAGGACGGATGAAGCGTTGTTTATCGGACTTACGGAGCTGAGGAGACTCTGGTTCAACCAGTAGTGTTCCGTCATGTATGTCACTACCTCAGACTGCATTGTGGCGGGCATATGATACCCAAAATAAAAGTTGTCATTTAGTTCAATTCCGGGGTAACACGTTGAACCTTCGTACCTTTGATGTTACGGCAACACTCTGAAGGTTTATAGTGGTCAAATTGTCTATTCGACTGTCCGATGACGAGGGTTCGATAATCGCACGTTACTGACGAAACAGGCAGAATATTGGTTACGTCGGCATCGACGATGGAAGTTCAGGAGAATTGCGAATGCCATCTCCGGCAGACATATATACCATTGTGCGTTACAGTGAGTTTATAACGTCGAGCTTTGCTGCAGCCGAAAGCGTTGCCTGCCTGAAATATTTAGAGAAGATCAAACTGTCATACAGATGTCCAGCCACAGCCGTCCATCAGTGAACTGTTTTCCATGGGTCACAGGTCGTCACACACTACCGATGAGGACGATCAGTGTAAAGACCACAGTTGCGGCGAGTCAGCTTCTGGCCTAGCCAGTTCACATCACACTTGCATTGCGCGCACTCATGATAGTAGCCCCCCCCCCCCCCCCCCCCCCCCACCCCCCCACCCCCCTCCATCGTAGTAACAGTTCATACCGTCTTCAACGAGGCACAATATCTGTCAGACAATTAGAATACCAAATCACCTCGAAAGGGAAAAGCGTCATTTACCCGAGCCAAGAGCTCGCTGCGCGGAGCTAAAGACACATTTTCTGGAAAAGGTGTTAGGGGGCTGGCTGCGGCGACAGCCGCAACCACGACAAGACGTACAAGTTGTCTCATCTTGTATGGATATATGGAGTGGATATCAGTTAAGGACGACTTTTGTTGGATGCAGACCGTAGAACAGAGGATAATTTGCTAAGATCCGTGGGAGTTAGGCGATGATGGCCAGTCTTATAAAGGGAATTTCCAACGGCCTCACATCACCCTTCAAAAATAGTGCTTCGGTTGAGTCATAAACATAGAAGCCACTCAAGCTATTTAACTTAACACGAGGTCTAAGAATTCTCTTATCAAACTTACTTGTTAGGTTTACATTACCTCGGCGTTATGTTGCCTCTTTAGGCGGAGAATTCATACTTGTCTGCAGCCCAGGCCCAGTCCCAAATAGCACGTCTGCAATGTGTCCGCGTCCCTCAATACATCACATAATAGGTTTAAACCCGCGTGCAAGAAATAGAAGGAGATTTAGAGTGTACTGACAGATAAGAAGTGTTCCCCGACGGACAAAGATACGTCTGGGCTGAGTTCGTTAGTAGTCAAGTTCAGTATGTGTGTTTCCCAGGCCAACGACAGAGTTCGACCTTACGTCGTGGTTCATTAGTGTGCCATTCGATATCAGCACCAGGCTCAGCAAATACTAAATAGCAAGTGCCTGGTGATATGATTAGTAATTTACTCGAAGCGACGGCATTCCTTGATTAATTATCTGACTTTGCTGCGGTTAACTAATCAGTCGCATGTCATGACGATAAGTGCCGATGAACATTTAGTGACTACCGAACTTTGTGTACTTATCTTGATATGATATGCAGGTGGCTTAGAACGGATGCAGCTGCATATTTACGGTGCGGAGCGGCTCATCGACTTGGACGAATTGCAGTACTGCCTCGCTTCTGCAGGTTTCAAGGCGTCGTGCTTACCCCTCCCTTTGTGCGAACCGTTTGCGATCGGAGCTCTTCTTGGTGCTTATCTGATGATTCTTCGCAATTTTGAACTGTCATTCATTCAATGTGGTCTGACGATCGCCCACAATCCGGAGCTCTCGACTGTCCAATTCGGCTCGCCAGTTCGAGACACTGATGCACCAGGCAAGATAGCATCGAACTCTTCAATAACGTCTCGAGACACCTAGTCCACTACGGGATCGCATAAATCTGGAAACGTGTATCCCACACAATTTTCCGGATGATCCGAGGATCTTTCGACCATGCGACTCATTAACGTCAACACAAGAGCATTGGAGGAGTTCCATACGAAGCCTCCTCGATATGCCATCTTGTCCCACACATGGGCCGCAGACGGCGAAGAGCTCCTATACGACCACATGATCAAGGGGCAAACAATAAGGGACTGTATAGGGAAGACGAAACTCGATGGATGCTGTAAGCAAGCGAAAGATGATAACCTCGAACACGTTTGGATCGACACCTGCTGCATCAATCGAGCAAATGCAACTGAATTAGGGGAAGCCATCAACTCCATGTTCCGTTGGTACCAAGGATCAACAACTTGCTACGCGTATCTCGCCGATGTCAACGAAGGGGATCGCAACTTTCACGATAGCTTCCGCGCAAGTCGCTGGTTTCAGAGAGGTTGGACTTTACAAGAGCTGTTAGCCCCAAATAATGTGGTCTTTTACGACAGAAGCTGGCAGCTCCTAGGATCGAAGAACCGACTTGCAGGCATTGTGGAGGAGGTCACAGGGATTCCGCGTCCATATCTCTTGGGGTATGTCGGGCTTCAATCAGCCAGTGTTGCGCAACGAATGGCTTGGGCTGCGAAGAGAACTACAACAAAGGAAGAGGACATTGCATATTGTCTTTTCGGAATATTTAACGTTACGATACCCATGATTTATGGTGAAGGCAATCAGGCCTTCACTCGACTCCAAGAGGAAATCATGAAGAGGACATCGGACGATTCAATCCTGGCTTGGGGACTTGCTACTGACCTGGCTCCTGTGGAAGGGAGCAATGGAGGTGTGAAAAGGTTTGGAAGCGTACTAGCTACCAACCCTGCAGCATTTCTACACAGTGGGACGATCGTTTCCCGCGGCAATCTCGATGTGTCCGGCATTCGGGGTGGTTTCCTCCACGCCAAACTTGGCCTCCATGTTGACGCGGACGGGCAGACATTTGGCTTGCTGAACTGTCATCCAAAAGACAGCGACCATAAGGCTGTGGGGATTCCGCTGTGCCGCGTCAATCCTGGGGAAGATTCCGACGAGTATCTCAGACCACAAGACAGCAAAGCTTCTTTGCTGTCAACGTCAATCACCCAGGCCTCGAGAGCAAGTCCGCGATCTGTACGCATTTTTGAATCGCTTCAGTTCGCCGACGAAGCGGCCTTCGACCGAAGGCATGGGTTTAGCATCGAGACACCCTCCAGTGGAGAGCTTCTTTTACTCGATGTACATCCGCAGGAAAGGTGGGAGAAAAGATCTTCTTTTATTCTCGCCGGTGCGGACTTTTCCCGAAACATGATCCAGCAAACGTGGCTGAAGCTCCGGTATGCGGCTTCCCCATCGGACGACTTTCTCATCGCGCTCGAACTTGAGATCGAAGACTCTCAACCGACCGGCCGATGTCATGTCATGACTGCGTCAAGGCAAACAATTCTGGCCGAAGTAGCTTCAGAACCGGGCATTACAGAACACGTTTTCGGAAATACAAGGGCCCATAACCAATTCTTCAATCTCAAGGCAAAACTCACACAAGAACAACTTGGGAGTCAACCTATGTTTATTGTCAGATTGTACTCAGTTGACTCCCCTTCCGGCGTTAGTGTTGACGCCAGTCTTGAGCTCTCACTCATCGGCCGCAGCAAACAGCTCAAAAGTCTATTGAAAGAGGATAGACGTATGCGTCCCGAGCTCCTTGAGCTTCGAAAGTCTATCCGGGAAAAGACAACTGCAGTGGACGAAACCACAGCAAAGCTGAAAGCAGTGCAAGAGGAACTGGACCGATTGCAACATAAGAAGGACGGACTGTCGGCCCAACTGGAATCAGATACTCAAGAACTAGCTTATTTTGTTGAAGCAAACCGAACACAGGTAGAAAGGGAGACAGAAATATTCGATTTTGTATCATCAGCTGGAACGCTGCCCCCACATTGCGGACAGGAAAGGGCGTCGAAATGGCTTGAAGGCATCATCGACCATCTTTCAACTAGCGCACCAAGCAAAGATGCCACAATCAACGACATGCCTGACAAAACCCAGCGCACATTGATGCAAAATGTGGCAAATGGAAATTTGGCAGCACTAAGGTTTCTTGCGGATAATCACGTCAACATTCGTTGTGAAACGACTACAGGGGTCGGGACCTTGTCGATGGCGATCCTCCGCGGGCACCTTGCTGCAGTATGTTGGCTCCTTGACCAGGGAATGAATATTGATTCGGAAGATGGCGAGGGAGTCACGCCGCTCTTCAGAGCAGTTTCTCATCGAGACCAAGAAGCTGTTACATTACTGCTGGATCGCGGCGCATCCATTAACGCTAAAAGCTCCGGGAGAAACCAGCGTACACCGTTGGCTATTGCTGCCAGGAGAAACGACGAGCATATTTGCCAGCTTCTCATCGAAAGAGGGGCTGATGTGAATATTGCTGACAAGTTTGGACTCACGCCGCTGGCCCTGGCAGCTCGTGCAGGTCATTCGGTAATTCTTCAAATTCTGATAAAGAGCAGAGCTGATATGGAGCTTCAAGACGAAAAAGGCCTGACACCGGCGTATCTTGCAGGGCAGCAGGGTCATTTGTCCGTACTTACAACGCTGATTAAAAAAGGCGCCGATATTGACGCGAGAGACCAGAATGGTCGAACGCTTCTGGCATATGCAGCAAGCGAGAACGATGAGGAATTGGCAAGATTGTTGCTCGATCAGAAGGCTCGCATCGATGCTTTGGACGATGAAAACCAAACACCTTTGGCACTGGCTGAGCAACTAAGGCACAAATCCATGATCAGGCTGCTCCTTAACCGCAATGCCAATCCCGAATTTAGAGACAAGCTTGGACGCACGTCTCTTGGAAGAGCTGTGGAGAGAAGAAGCCTAGACACAGTGAAACTCTTGCTCGATCTTAAGGTCAATGTCGAGTCCAAAGATAAATCCGGCTACACCGCACTTGCCCTAGCCGCTGAGAGCGGTTGCCTAAAAATATCCAGGACTCTAATCGAAGGAGGAGCGAACGTTAATTCCACAGACCACGCTTCAGATACACCCCTCAGTTTGGCGGCGAACCAAGGTCACAAATCGGTTGTTGGGCTGTTATTGGACCATTCAGCCGACCTTGAGTTAGCTAACGCACTTGATCGCTCGACTCCACTGATGCAAGCTGTACGCAACGGCCGCAGAAAAACGGCGAAAGTGTTGCTGAAAAAGGGAGCGAAAGTCAACGCCAAGGACAAAGATGGCCTGACTCCGCTCTTCATCGCCATCAAAATGCGTCGGTCTCCTCTGGTGCGCATCCTTTTGGATCATGACGCTCGCACCGACATCAAATCGAAAGATGGATTGAATCCCCTGTATTACGCCATCAAGCAGAAGAACAAGGACTCTGTTCGGTTGCTTTTGGACAGAGGCGCAGATACATCCCAGCTGAAAAAGCTGCCACCCCCGTTGCAATATGCAAAAGACCTCATCGTTGAAGAGGGCACTCGCAGCACCTCGAACGCAGATGGAGAGGGTGGAATTGCTGAATTAAAAAGCATCGTCAAGATTCTACAAAAATTTGAACATCCTGAGTCTTCGTGAGAAGCAACGAAAGGCAAGAACGGGAAATAGTCAAGAAGTACCAGAGCTCCTCGACCAATGAGCTGAAAGAAGTAGACAATCCCATACATATAGAGGACATTGACTGCAATCGTGAGTTATTTGGACATTCAAAACTGTGTGGGGAATGAGCGAGTGATACATCTGGCAACATCAGAGAACAATCGTATTGCTTTGACGAGCTCGTAGTATTCGCCGTGTTACGTATGGAGGTTTAATTGTATGGAGGTTAGATTATATGGCTCTTTGCGATCAGCGGGAGTCTCCTTGGAAGTTCTACATAGTACGTGAATACTTTCTTAGCATGCATGCGATAATATGACTCTGTGAGGAGAAAATCGCTGATCATTTAAGGCGCAATTTCTGAGAAATCAACAACGGTGAAGGCAAGTGTTGTGGTTGTGAGATTAAATGCTGGACCTAAGGTGGCGAATGATGTAGCCCTCATTTGCAACAGGTGGGGCGGCAGTTTTTTGAGCTGAAGATCCCCTGTCCAAATTTCTTGCGACAAGCTCCATCGCCGCTTTCAATCTTTCACCACCTCAATTGCCACCCCGCCAAAAGTGTAATCATGTTGACCGCAGGAGGTCTCAGAAATGCTTGCCCTAGCTGTAGAGCTCGTATTCTGAGCTTAGCAGGGCAGCGCACTCCAGGGACAATTATCCCAGGACGATCAAGTCCTTCGAAGCTAGCTGCATCTCGATCGGTGGTACGACCCGCCGCCCGCAGACCCCTCACGACAACACCACGCAGATTCCAGGACAGCAAATCAAGCCGAACTGACGCGAAAGACCTCACACATGCTGCCGATATCGAGACGACCGTTCGGGAGGCGAAGCAGAGATTTCGCGACACACTACCGAAAGGCTACCTGAGCGAGGAAGAATACAGGCTATACGAGCGCTGGTACGGGCCGCCGTTGAGAGAGACCACGCCGGAGGACATTGGAATCGAGTACTTGAACGAGAACACGTCCGAGGCGGCAGTACGAAAGGATGGATCTGCGGAACCTGCTCTCCTTCGACGGGGCGAGGGAGGCTCCTACGAGGAGGTATCGTACGTGCGGAAAGGCAAACGAAAAACGCCTGATCAGATCTTCGAAGAAATCGTGGAGGACAACCTCGCCTCTGAGCTATCGACCGAGGTCGAACCTGCGCAAGAGCCTGCGCCCGATGCCGAGCCCGAACCCGAAGAGCGAGAAAACTACATCAATGTTGTGGCAAGGAACAGGAGGGAATACGATGCGCTTATGAAGCTGCAGAAGGACTTTGAGGCCAGTGCCCGCGCATACGAGGAGTCGGAGAGGGCACAAGCTCAAAAGGAGGACGAAGAATTACGAGACGAGGAACGAGAGATGGACGAGGATGAGGAGGACCTCGACGAGAGGGAGGATGGAATTCAAGACCAGAGCACCTCCAACCGTGCGAGTCGCTTGCATCCTTACTCGAGAGAGGGCCACTTCTCGACAAACCCGGCTACAGTCTCCATGCCCTACACGGGCTTCATATCACCAGTCAACACCATTCTCAGCCGTACCGATATCAAGCACGTACAAGAGGCGGCGGAGAAGGCTTTCGGAGGCCCCGGCCTGCCCCATTCACCGGCGACACCTGCTTCCAAGATGAACCTGCCGCAGAACCCCATTGGCATGGCTGTCTGGCAGGCTAGGATGTCAGAGATCGATGCGGATGCGTTCATCTCTACGTTCTTGCCGCCTACCTACGCCTCTGCCATGGCCAGTCTGGTTGAGGTTCGCAAGCGCCTGGGCACGGAGTGGATGCGCAAGCTATTCGAGAGAGGCAACGGCGAGGGGCCCCGCATCCTTGACGTTGGTGCCGGTGGTGCAGGTCTCCTGGCTTGGCAAGACATTATCCGCGCTGAGTGGGAAGCCATGCAGTCCCGTGGTGAAGTCTCTGGTCGAGGTCCTCCAGGCAAGCAGAGTGTGGTCATTGGAGCCGAAAAGCTGAGAGAGCGCATTTCGAAGTTCCTCCAGAACACCAGCTTCCTACCTCGCCTGCCGGACTACCTGCACTCCGTCGACCAACAGGAACAGCACATTGATGCCAACGAGACCCCGCAGCCTAGGAAGATGTTCGATGTAATCATCGCTTCCCACCTGCTTCTTCCTGTCAAGGAAGGTCACAGACGCAAGGCCATCTTGAACCAGATCTGGTCCCTTCTTAACCCCGAGGGCGGTGTTCTGATCGTTCTCGAGAAGGGCCAGCCTAGTGGCTTCGAAGCCGTTGCTGAAGTTCGCGACCGCCTTCTTCAGGAGTTCCTCATCCCTCCAGGAGGGGATGAACTCAAGGCCGAAGAACAGGACCTCGATCCATCTTTTGAGAGAGTAAAGGAGCACGGCATGATCATCGCGCCCTGCACGAACCACAAGTCATGCCCGATGTACCTTGTCCCTGGTAGGAGCAAGGGGCGCAAGGACTACTGCCACTTCACCCAGCGCTTCGTCCGCCCGCCCTTCCTCCAGAGGATCATGGGCGCAACGCACCGCAACCACGACGACGTGCAATTCAGCTATGTCGCGATCCAGCGAGGTACTACAGCCAAGTCAGGCTCCCTCGCCGGCGACAAGGCCACCACTCGCGCCTTGGAAGGCTACGAGGATGCCGAGGCCGCCCCCGACATGCTCTCCCTACCGCGCCAGATTCTCCCGCCCATCAAGCGCCGCGGCCACGTCACGCTCGACGTCTGCACGCCCTCCGCGAAGATTGAGCGGTGGACCATCCCGAAGAGCTTCAGCAAGCAGGCGTACCACGATGCGCGCAAGGCGAAGTGGGGTGACCTGTGGGCGTTGGGCGCAAAGACCCGATTGCAGAGGAATGTGCGCCTGGGTAGGCCGGAGGCCGATGATGACGGCGGTGTTCGCGCGCAGCGGGCGAATGCGGCCGCTCGCAAGAAGAGGAATGTCGTTGAGGTCGGCATTAACGAGCACGGTGTGATTGGCGACCCCGATGCTATCGAAGCGCGCGCGCAGCCGCAGCAGAGACGGAAGAGCAAGAGAGGAGCTGCCCTGCATGATCTCAAGAAGCAGCTGGCGGAGAAAGAGGATTAAAGGAATCACCATAAACTGTAACAATGACTGTGTATCATATGGGTGGGAAAGGCATCAAAATACTATAACAACACCACGGATTATACTTTATACTTAGGCACGGGGGGAATGAGGGCATCATGACTGCGCCAAGGAGCCGCCACTTATCACAACGGTTCAATACCACAACTCAACTGAATGACAATCCATCTTATCTTTTCCATCATTTCACTTTTGATTGCAGTATGCAGAACACAGATTACCCCTCTACCCCTCCATGCGCAGAGGCCGTGGACCGGAGATGCTTGAAGAAGACCGCGCCAGGGGGACGCATCTCCGGTGACGGCTCCGCGGGAGTCGGGGCGAAAGCCGCTGATTGGTCACGATGGAAGATGCCGATAAAGGCCGATAAGACACAGCAAGGGCCGGCTGTCGGGATGGTGTCATCGCCAGCGAATGAAAAATTAGCTGACCTTTTTTGCCCGGCGCATGATTGGGTTCCGCAATCGCATTTCGGGGTCTGGCGCTGGCGCTGGCGCTGCAAGGGCAAATGACAATCTATGGGCGATTTCTAATTTCTTGTTAGATATCTAATCACAGTGGCCAAGACGCCATTTTTGGTTTTTCGCTCATCCGTCTTATGAGAGACTGACTTCATCACGGACCTTTTCATCTTTTGACTTTTGAGTCATTCAAAAGTTTCTCTTTGTGTTGCGCAAGGTTTGAGTAGTTACCCTTACTTGAACTTCACCAATACACTCACCCACACGGGCGACAGGGGTTGTAAGACCTTCACCAACATCGTCTTCATCACCTCTCAGAAAGACTCATAGGAGTCACACACAACCAAAATGGCGACAACAACAACATCACTCCTCACAGCCCTCAACTGCAAAGGCAACACCCATCTCGTAATCGGCACAAACCCCCTCGCAGCAGCGCGCTGCACACAATCCATCAACGCCGGCGCCACCCCCATCCTTCTCGCCCCAGACACCTCAGACCTGCACTACAACCTGCAAAAACGCATCGACGCAGGCGAGGTGGCCTGGCACAAGAAGGACTTCGAGGACACCGACCTCTTCACCCTGGGCAGAGATGAGGTCGACAACGTCGTCGACGCCGTCTTCGTGACCAGCGGCCCGCGCGACCCGCTCAGCGCGCACATCTCCGCGCTGTGCAGGCGCAACCGCATCCCCGTCAACGTGGTCGACGCGCCGCAGCTGTGCACGTTCTCGTTGCTGAGTACGCACACCGACGGCCCGCTGCAGATTGGCGTCACGACGAATGGCAGGGGGTGTAAGCTGGCCAGCAGGATCAGGAGGGAAGTCGCCGCGGCGTTGCCCACGGATTTGGGTGCTGCGTGCGCGAGGCTTGGGGATGTGAGGAGGAGGATCCAGAGCGAGGATAGTCTGCCGGACGAGGTTGACGATTCTGTGGACCAGTCTGCGAGCTTCAACAAGCTTGTCACGGATGCGGATCTGGAAGCGGCGAAGAGCAGGCGGATGAGGTGGTTGAGTCAGGTCTGTGAGTACTGGCCGCTTAAGAGGTTGGCTGCGATCACGGACGAGGAGGCGGAGAGCGTGTTGAAGTCGTACTCTGCCGCGCTGCCTGAGACGGCTGGGAAGCCGCCTACTGCTGGGCTTGGAATAGGGGCGAGCAAGCCGCCGCAGCAGGGCAGGATTATTCTTGCAGGAAGCGGTCCCGGACACCCTGATTTACTCACGAGAGCGACACACAAGGCTATTCAGACAGCGGACCTCATTTTGGCGGACAAGCTTGTGCCTGCTGGAGTGCTCGATCTGATTCCTAGGCGGACACCGGTACAGATTGCGAGAAAGTTCCCTGGAAATGCGGATCAGGCGCAAGAGGAGTTGCACGAGCTTGCTTTGGCTGGTGCGAAGGAGGGCAAGACCGTATTAAGGTTGAAGCAAGGCGATCCATTCATCTACGGACGTGGTGGAGAGGAGGTTGCGTATTTCAGGGAGCGTGGCTTTGGCGACCGTGTCACGGTTCTGCCTGGTATCACTTCGTCGCTCAGCGCGCCGCTATTTGCTGGCATCCCGCCCACACAACGCGACGTTGCGGACCAGGTTCTGGTGTGCACTGGTACGGGCAAAAAGGGCAAGCCGCCAGCGCCACCCGAGTTTATCGCTAGCAGGACGGTTGTGTTCCTCATGGCGCTGCACAGGATTGTTGGGCTGGTCAGGGAGTTGACTTGCCATCTTGAGACGGAGGAGCAAGTTGAAGGTGAGGAGAAGCCAAGGAGGGTATTGTGGCCGAAGAACACCCCCTGCGCGGTCATCGAGAGAGCGAGTTGCCCCGATCAGAGGGTGATTCGAACAACGCTGGAGTACGTTGCTGAGGCTATTGAGTCTGAGGGTAGCAGGCCACCTGGGCTGCTTGTAGTCGGCAGGGCGTGTGAGGCGTTGTATGAAAAGGAGAAGGGGCGAACTTGGGCGGTCGAGGATGGCTTTAAGGGGTTCGATTTTGAGGAGTTACCCGGATTGTCATGAAACGATCTTGTCTTAGGAGTTTTGCGATATGTTTTAGAAGGCCGTCTAGAAAAAAGGCAACTTTGCATAGCTAGGTGTATGATTCGTCGATTCTAATGAGACCTGTCTGCAAATTTGTGTGCGAAATGGGATTCATGTCTGCAGCCAACAATTTTCAATGTTGTTTTTCGGGCGAGATAGCAGAATGAATGGTTGCGACCTTGGGCAAGAAGTGACATCTCTTTAATCTTAACTAGTTACACTGTCTCTATCGTTTTATTTATGTCTTTGGTGCTCATGAACTCCATTCCAATTTCACAAGCCGAAGAAAACCGCATCCGTCGCCATCACCCAGTTGTTGAGACTGAATCACCTTCCCTAAGTGACCAACCGCACAGTTCCTGGACAATGATCACCATCAAACTTCCTAAGTCAAAGTCAGCATGATATTTCATCGGGGCAAATTGGGTTTCAGACAGTCTCGACTCACCAAGAAATGCCCCAAAAACAAGATGGCTTGTCGAGCTTCGAGCCCACGACTTGTAGCTCGTGGCAAGTGCTGATTTTTCTTGGTCGTTCTGCCTGTATCGATTCATCTGACCATCCAAAAGCTCTAGGAGGCGATCTTTGTTGTGAAAGTCACACAACCTGACAACATCCCATGGGCTAAGGTCTGAGAAAGGCTGAGAGTCAGCCATGGGCTTGTAAAGCCAAAACTCCCCGACGTCGTTCTGTCCAGTCTTGATCGTCAGCATCGGCTTGTCACACGCGTAAGATGCGGTGAAATTGAGATCTGCTTCATGAACGAGTAAATGCTCAAGAATTTCGCCGGCCCATTTGAGCTTCCTTTGCCCCCGGATCTTGCTAAGCAGTGCTGCTAGAAAAATCGTCTCCAGCAGGCTCAATTGCCTTCTCGGGGCCAAAATGCAAAAGGGTTCAAATCCTGAGCGTTCATCAACGACAAACTCTATCGCCGAATCAGGGGTGATTAGACCACGTTCTAGTACTGCTTGCACAATTTGAGGGCCTAAGTGGTCGTCGGGTGCTCTCGTGACAATCTCCCCCCAACCAGTAGAAGGCATGTGAGCGGAGACGGCGCAAGATATGAGCAATTGCGCTTGCGCCTGTAAGCTTTCAGTGATCGGCGCTTGTCGCAGCCACCAAAGAGGAAATTCTGCTTGGCCTCGATATGTGAGTAAGAAGACGGGAGACAGCAAATCGGTTCCATCGATGCGCGCTTGGGAGTCTCGGAAGTGTAGGTTAGGATGGATCGGTCGACAATGCTTAGCGGAACGTGCTCCACGACGTCTTGGTTCCACAATTGTCGAAGAAAAGAGAGAGCAGTTTCGAGAAATCAAAATGTCGAGGCTGTTCAAAAATACCCACGGCGCTTTGTCCAGCTGTCCGGCCTCTCTCATTGCCAGAAGGTTTGGTACCCAGTCAGATTGATGCCGTCTCCTTAACCCATACACTCGATGAGCAAGACAGATGATTTGGGAAAGAGCTTCTTTTGTGTTGAATGAGCCCACAAATGATTCCATTCCGGTTTGACTTTGGGCTGCAGTAGAAATTCCTGGATTGAACGATGAGTGAACTCGACGCGCCAGGTTGCAGATTTACCAGCTTCAATCAACCCCCTGGAGCACCGGACTAATCGCCTGTGGCAATTTAAGATTTTATTGTGATCGTATGATGGAAATCGATTGAAGAAGAAGTCTGGGCGTGGATCCTCTTCGTATGGCCCCAACAATGTAAAGGCGAGAGCGTCGAAGGCAAGTTTCCAGTGGCTTGATTCAATCATGATCAAGAACAGTTTGTAGACTTCTGGCTTGTCCCGACGTGGTAGCGACTTGATGATATGTTCGAAAAGAGTGTCGAGCTCGTCTGGAAGCGAATCTATTTTCTCAGCTAAGTCGTTCAAGCAGCAGCCATCATGGAGCTTCTCGCACAGGTCACGAATGACAAGCACAATCCAGATAAATACGTTCTGTGCTTTTTCCACAATCAATCGGGCTAAGTTTCCAAACTGGACCTCTTCGGAAATTTTTTCCAGTTCTCTTTCAACGCACAAGATCATGTCTTGCTTTGTGAGGTCGTGAAGACAAAGCCTTGCGTTGTCATCGAACTCGTCCATAAATTGGCTGTACTCACGGCTGGAAACGCAGAATTTGACGTTTCCGCCACTCTTCTGGGCCCATCTTTTGATGACGTGAGACAAATCTCTAAAAGAGAAATCCGGCGTTTCTTGAAGTTCATCCAACCCGTCAATAAAAAAGAAAAAGCGATACGATGAGGTGCTGTCTTTTGAATTGCAGATCAGCCTCTCTAATGCATCGATGCATTCTTGGTCAGTGACCATCAACTGTCTCTGCGTATGCCATGGTAAGACTAAAGCCTCGTTCCAACGGGAACCAAAAGCGCTAGGGAGCAGCTCCGGAGATGATCGGAATACGTCGCATAACAATGAACGGCTGAGCCCAGCCAACGACTTTTGCAAACGGTTGCCGGAATTCGAGAAAAAGAATTTGCTTGTGGCTAGTTTCTTGTCATTGTCCTCTGTGACGCACGATTTTTTAGCCTTCTGTCTGTCAAAACTGCAGTGAACGAACGCCATACCTGCCCAATTCGCCAGACGATTGGTGATTTTACCGCGTGTACACAACCCCTTCATTAGTGTCGACTTGCCGGCTCCAAGCTTGCCTGATATGTGGAAAATTCCATTTCCCCATGAAATCCAATCCGAAAACGATTTTTGGCTTTGTTGGCGATCTTCATTTTCCACTTCTAAACGCAGACTTTTGAACCTTTCTAAATGCTGGGTGTCGATGAACGCCCCGTCCTCTATCCAACGGAATCCAAACGTTGCTCCTATGGCAATCGTCTCAAAACGCTCATGCATGCCGTCGAAGGCGATACATTTGAGAAAAGATTCCAGTGCAGTTTGATGGATGACAGCTTCAGGGGTACTGATGAACTTATTGAGTTGATCTTGGACTTCTTTGCTGAGGGATGTGACCTGAACACCTTGCCGGAGATTCGCGACGTGACTTTCGACTTGCTTCAGCTTTTCGGTGTCCTTTTCGGTCTTTTCCAACAGGTGTCTGATCGCAACCACTATTTTCGTGCTTAAAAACAAATTTTAGCTAATTTCTAAGAAACCGAAAGCAGCGAACGGGAAACTTTACCTGCGTCTTTGGCTGAGCTGAGCTTCAAACTGGCGTCTATATAACTCGAGTCTCTTTTCCAACATCTCCTTATCTGTTGCGCGCCAGAAATTCTTCGCCGCAGACTTTACAGACTGCCACTTGGAAGTCCGGTCTACGGGCTTGATTTCCTTAAGAACATCCAACAGGTTATCAGCCAGCTCCTGGCACTCTGCAGCCAGAATACAAAGTTCCTTGTCGTCCCCAATGAGATCGGAGGAATCGGGAGCGCCGAGGTTGGAATAGTGCTGCTTCAGCCGTGTTGCATACTTCTCCAAGTTGATGTTGTCGTTCAGTCCACCAGACTCGGAATCGTGGATTCCTTTGGCGGTTTTCAGGACTTTGGCGGCGATTTCGATGAAGGGGACAATGTTCGCGATCAGGCCGAAGGCTGTGAGAGGATCCATTGTGCCAGACAATGGTGATGGTGATGGTGATATTCGGGTCTCTCAAACGATCTGCTAGTAAGGATTTCTACGAACACAGTCATGTAGCTCTCTAGTGACTTTGCTGCTTTATACTGATTTGCAGAAGCAAGGAACGAGATACGTCAGTCCTCAGGGATGATGACCGTTTCATCATTTGGCCTCCGAGTCTTTCATACGCTGCTACCATCTTTGATATAATGGTTTCGACCGTCAAATTGGCTTTTAAGAATTCTGGTGCTTCTGTTTGACTGATGAGTACTTGGCCTGAAACAGCCTGGAATAAGAATTCCACTCATTGACCCAGACGTCCAGTCCAAACACCCGAACAAAGGCTTGACGCAAAACTGAATATGGATGAAAGTTAGGTGTGGGAAGATTTGATTCGTTCCTCTGATTGATCTTGATTGATCAAGCTCGTCCAAAAAAGCAAATGTGAAAAAGTGTCCCACACCTCCAGTCTGGAAAGAGCGCTGTTACTCAAAGGGCACGGCTATGCATGGGAACATGGCCATAAGCATCTCGCTATCATATCTACAATCTGTATCATTTCTCAGTAACGAGCGATCTCGATTTAAACACACAAAGCTCTCAAAAGTCCTTGTTGATCACGTCCGCGTTCCGGTCATATCTCAGCTTCTAGACTAGTATCAACTTCGTCACGTCGCACCTGTGACAGAGATCCCCTTCTTAGAGATGCGCATTTTTTAATTACGACTTCTTTTATATCTAGTAAGCTAGATCGGTCTATAGATTTAATTTGTGGATGGTGCCGGTCGCTGTTATTAGCAATTGAATCGAGGCAGCAATCGGAAAATGGCACACTTGAGAAGTCATAACTTTTCCTTGCTAACGACGTCGTCATTATTATTGCAGGTTCTATCAATTGTCATGCACCTTGTCCCTCTGTCGCTATGCCGTAAGGACCTCGACCATCATAACAACCCTCTAATTGCTCTCCGAGCAACTGCTCCATAAGGCCATGTGCGCTCGAGCTTCTTAGTCGCACTATGAAAGTTAACTAGGCATTCATTCATCACGGCAAGCAAGTGGTCACTTACGCAGTAAACAGACTGTGGGTTTAGCTTGTCAGCAATCAAGTAAGTAGATGCGAAATGACCAGTAGGTAACTTACACCTCCAGTGCAGGACTGAGAGTCATCTTCCTGGTCTCTAATGTTTTGCGGGGAGAAGCACGATCCTCGGAACGTCGGGAAATTTGCTGATTGGACGTTGCTGCACTTTGGAAATACTTAGTAGCAGTTTGTCATGTAGGATAAATGCTACTCACGCAATACGAGTTGGCTCCCTTTCCCTGGACGCGAAGTTCTGTCAGTGGTGATTGCAGTGCGAAGTAGGTGAGATTGAAATACACACCTCACATGTAAGTGCAGCGTCGAGACCTTGTCCACCGTTACAGTATTTCTGGAGAGCATTTACGGCCAAAGCCTGAGCCAGCAGAGCGGTGATGAAAGAAGCCTTCATGATTATCAACTGAGGAAGAGTAGATTGTAAAATAGCTGGTGAATTGGATGATGAGACCTGTGTGGTTCGAAGCATCCCACGGGAGAAAATGCGTATTTATGTTGGTAATATTCCAAGGCTGACAAAAGCCCAGCAACAGAGTCATGTGCAGTGTCATCTAACATACTTTCTCTTGATTCAGCACCCGTGTCTCAGGCAGGGGCGAAGTGGAGTGGATTGAGCTAGCCTGAGGGGATCAGACAATCTTGGAACCCACTACTCATGAACTGTGCGATTGACTTCAGTCATATTTATGAGGCAGATGTTCATCCCGTCGGCTGTTAATCAAAAGATCGTCTGAAGTAAGTATTCTCGTTCTTGGCTACCGGATATTCCAGGCTTGCAAACCTCAACAGTGGTTATCATACGATATGAGGGACTCTTTTCTAGACCGAATTTGAACAACCCCACACATCAGCCCGGACCCCACGATCCGCAACAGTGCAACTCTATGTGGTACCCATGCTCTGCCCCAGTCGTTATGCGAAAGCGAAGACAGCTCGGGCGGACATGCGGACATAACGAGAGACAGGCCTGGTCTAAATTCTTAACGCCAGGTCGCTGCTTTGATAAGCTCTGTGAAGAATAACTACGCAGTAGGTGCTGTTTTCGAAATCTCATAGGAGCTAGGGATTTTTCATACTAATACTTGCTTGCAATAACATAGACCAAAATCTCTCTATCACAGGTGACGATAGTTTCAAACATGGTGCCTTGGGAATTTCAACGCGTTGCGTCCGTTCTTTTTCTTTTTCTCAAACGTACTAGTACTTATCACTAGCAGTGACTACGTTGGAAACCGGCCAATGGTCAGTTTGAAATGGCCTTGAAAGAGAAAGCTGACACAGCTAACATGGGCGTATGCATTGGTGGCCGTTCCTAATGCCTAGCACAAAGAACATCATGGCCTAAGATCGATAACCAACTGATCGACGAAGTTTCGTCCAGACATTACAATAACATGAAGGAGATTAATGATTGTTCAAATATCACGACGAGATGTTACTTTTTCCAAGACCTTCGAGTTGATCCAGACGCCCGCCATTTCAGGCAGCCCATGATCGTTGTTTTAAGTCTTGGTGTCCAGGCGTGCACTTCGAGCTGGTACCACGTAGTGCTGCATATGTTAGATCTGATTAAAGCTTGAAGTATCTACTCGCACATTAAAACTCGATTGTTAAGAAAGATGCAAGGGATGGTGATGAATTACCGATCCTACTGCTCCCATGGTGAGTTCGCCTCGCTATGGGCGTCGCCGACGGTGAATGATGCGTCTCCGCAAACCCAACCTCTTCCGTTGTAGCAACGAACTGGGCGATAGTCTGTTCTTTTCCCTGTATCCGAACCGCGTTCAGCCCAACTTGAATCTAGCAACTCAAGGTTTGGCATAGGCTGGTCTATCTGCATGGTCAACAATGCCAAGCGAACACTTTGCCTGTCCGCCATCTCGTAGAATCTATCGAGATCTTCAATGCTCGAACAGTCGCAGAGAAGTACATATCGCAAATGCGGCAGAATCTCGCTCTTGAACTTGATGATGTCGCTGAGTAACTTCTCGTCTGTTTGCACAATGGTGACTGTTTGCACAAGGTGATCCCGGTCACTGTCATGTTGATTAGCGCGTTCCCTAACACCTTCTAACATGAGCACCTCCAGGTTTGGCGGGAGAACATGCTTCAGCATCGGGCGCAAGTTGGTGCTGCCAAGATAATTCACGAAGAGAGCCTGAGGGTCGACCAGAAGCAGCTTCAATACCGTAAACTCCTCGAAAAGCATCGGACCCCGGAGATCATAATGCGAAAGAGACGATCTCCAACAAAGCTCAAGAATCTCGAGGGTTTCTTTGCATCCTGATAGTAGAGAAGCAAAAGAGCTCCTGCAGAATGATAGCTGACCGTGGTGGCGAAATCGGAAGCTCTGAAGCGACGAGGCTCGTGACAAGAACTTCCCAAGACTTGCGATGTGGATGTGGCAGTCGTCGATTTCCAGGTGCCTGAGAGCCTCCATAGGAAAGGGCTCAGCGGGATGTTTTCTGAATGCTGAGAGGTCCAGCTGTGCGAGTTTCAGGCGGGCAAGAGTTGGTTGGCTGAAGTAGATGGAGTCTTGTGCGCGGATCTTGTACAGAGACGCCGTCTCTTCGACCTCGTTTGACTGGACTGCATCCACGTGCCTGCAAGCATCGAGGATAGCAAAGTTGACTGATAATTTTCGAGTTAGCCTAATATTTGTGGAAGAGTTTGATGTGTTGACGTGCAGCTACTGAGTCTTGGTTTCAAACGTATGCCGGCGTTGAGTTCTTCTCTTCTCTCCGTGTCGACAGTCTTGACAGTTCCGCAAGCATACTCGATGTTCATGCTTTCGAGGTTCGGTAGCTCTAGCCCTAGTAGTTCTCGTATACCTCCCTCATCCATCTCGTCGATATTCATGGCACTAATGAACTGGCAGATCTCCGGACGCCGTCTGAGCAGGCTGGCAAGCCCATCAACATCGCAATAAGTCTGCCGTTTTGTCCATACTCTGCGATAGAACACGGGTGCAGTAAGCCTATAGATGGCTTCGTTGCTTTCCATCAGCTGTTTGAGGTGCCGTGTTTCGAGGTAAGAGATCACCATCGTGAAGAGCTCAGATGGAACATTTAGAAAACCCGTCGAGGAACAAAAGGCTGGATTGAGCGCCATGATGTGAGATGCTGACCACTGACGTTGGCTCAAATGGCCCAAGGCCAGCTCACTGGAATAAGAGCACTCTTTAAAAACGGGAAATACTTCAAAACAAAGCTGAAGTTTGCGGTCTGGATTCGTTCGAAGAAGGCGACAGGATTATGTAATTAGCAGCTGAGACCGTGTTTGCTTCTTGCTTTCCCAATCTGGCCCCTTGCATCGTCACGAGGCCAAATCTTATTGGTGATTACTTGTATTAGATAGTCTACGCAAACAACCCCTTTTGATCGTTGACCTAGTAGCGAGTACCTTGCACAAACATCCGGTTCCTCAGGCTCCTCTTCTTCCTCATGGGGTTCGCAGGCTGCTTCCAGATAGGCTGGTCGGGGTCATATCCAACCAAGCAGTTCACAGTCTCGGCGCCCTCTCCAGCATCATTAATCTCGCTACCGACCGGGTTGCGCCACTGGCCACTCAGCTTGATGTACCCGTCCAGCGCAGCCGTCATCGCCTTGCCGAGCTCAAGAGCCTTTGACGCGCGGCTGTGGGAGTAATACGTCAGCAGCGAGCTCGCCGTCTCGCGGTCCCCGCTCTCGATGAGCAGCTTCGCGCTCGTCTCGACCCAGTCAATGTCGCTGCGGCTCTGGTTCTCGAAGCCCGTGAGCATCTGCGTGACGATCGGGTGGAAGGTGTCGGGTTGCGAGCACATGTAGTACAACACGCGCTTGAAGATGCGGCCGGCGAACTCGCTCGCCTCCTGCAGCTGGTAGTCCGTGTTCAGGAAGCTGCCGGACGCCCCGGTGGTGAGGTAGCGGTGCTCGCCGAACTCGGAGGGGATGCTGCTGACGCCGAGCCACCAGGGCACAAAGGGTGCCGCGACGGAGCCGGTGGGAGCGTTCCAGATGCGCAGCAGGTCGCGGTCGATGCCATCCTTGAGGGACACGATCTGCCCGTAGCCGGCCTCGTCGTCGGAGATGCGCTTGTCGCGGACGCGCTCCATGAGCTTCTCCTCGGTGACAGGGGCCATCTCGAGGGTGGCATTCTCGAGCGCGGCCTGGGACATGAACTTGAAGCCGCCGTCGCGCGCGGTCATGTTCTCGCCCTTCTCGCCGTAGGCGTTGAAGATGTTGAACGGCTCGCCGCTGCTGGCGTTCCACCACCCCTGCTCCACGGCGAAGGAGACGATGTTGTCGGAGCCCATGTAGTCGGAGCTGTTGGCGAAGTCGGTGGGGAAGTCCTCGATGTAGCCGGGGTACAGCACGCGGACCTCGTCGGTCTTGAGGCGCTCGGCGGCCCAGAGCTTCTGGCCGCCGGCCATCTCCCAGACAACCCAGCCCTCGTCCTTGTCGGCGATGAGGTGGGTGTTGCCGCCGTAGGTCGCCTCGCCGTACTGGTTCATGAGCTCGCCGATGATCTCGACGCCCTCGCGCGCGGTCCTGGCGCGCTCCATGACGATGCGCGCGAGGTCGCTGTACTGGATGCCGTGCTGCGGCGTCGGGGTCATGTTGACCAGCTCGTCGCGGTTCTGGGCCCAGACGTCGCGGACGGTGACGCCGTTCTCGTTGAGACCGCCGTTGGTGAGCGGCGCCGGGAAGCCCTCGAAGTCGGAGTACTCCATCGACAGGTAGCGGTAGGTGTGGCTGACCTGGGGGATGGTGAACAGCTCGCCCGGGATGCTGGCCTTGTCCGTGACGCCGACGGTGATTGTCGCGTTGGAGGCGTGGTCGCGGGCGGGAAACAGCTGGAGCCAGTGGGAGGAGACCTCCTCGCCGGTTCCGCCGACCATGACGCTGCCGTCGGCGGTGAGGCCCTTGCCGACGTAGAAGGCGTAGCTTGCGGAGGCCGGCCCGGCGAGGGCGGCCATCAGCACGGCAGAGGTTTGGAACATCATCTTGCCCGCTGGTTAGAATGGAGATGGCTCTTGGCTGAGGGAGAGAGGGTTGAACGGGAGAAAGAAGAAAACTTTCCACCCCGCGACGGCTCAAGAGAGAAAAGAGAAAGTGCGAGGCGGGGCCTCAATTCCCCTCTTTGGCATTCATTGCCGGCCGGGACTGAATGATGTCAAAAGGAAGCGCCGACGTGACTCTCGGGTTGTTGTACCCCACACCGAAATTTCCGGTATCGCTAGCGGTGAAGATAAACGGTGCCAAGGGCCGTAATAAACACTGCTAATTCACGTCGATAAATGCGCGGATGACAGGGATGATCTTGTTTCTCGTAAGATGACCCCAACGACGCCCTTGTCTCTGGGGAAACAATTCCCGCAATTCCCATTTGAGTAAGCGACTAAAGTTTCCCGATTGGAACTCCGCGTGGTTCGGCGTATCTCCGATCGAACACGACTTGACCGCGGAGAGGGGCCTTGAACGAATGGGCACCAGTGCCTCACAACGATTCTGATTGAGCAATGCATTTATCTCATCGAATGCCTCTACTATGCACCTTAAAGTGAAGCTTCGAATTTGAGAAACATCAGTCTGCTGGTACCGCATTATCATAACAATATCGATACCTTACCTTCTCGCACTTACCTCAAGAATGAGAATTCTGAGTCGAATGAACGGCGGTTTGTTGGGGTGAATGTAAGGGATCGCAGATGTAAGCAATGAGGGTTACAGAGGCCGTCTCGGTGACTTGCCATGGATCTTCCTCCCCCAGATCCAATTCCAATGTCGCCAGAACATCAGAAACGACGGAGGTGAAGAAGATCTGGGTATCTCGGGTTAGGAGATTCATGGGGATAAACGTAAATTAAAGCCTGTCAGCTGGGTATCATGCCGGTTCTATTCAGACATCCATCGGCTTCTCTTTCTCCCATCAACGCCTTCGCATCGTCTTTCCAATCGCCCCTGATAAGATCTCGCTTGTTCCGAGGCATCGTCGATGACATTTCGATATTGAGCCCCCTCTCATGACGCCCTCATGTCTCTCTCCACTCGCATCGAGAAGTCCTGTATCCATACCGCCACGATACCTCCCTCACCTCAACTTCACCGTAACCTCCAAACAGCTGACCCTCCTCACCCTGCTCTCTCCTCCAAACCCATCGTCATCCTCTTCGACAACGACATCGTCCACCGTGCCCACCGTCCTCGTCCTTATCTCAACAACACAATCCCCCTGCTCCTCAAACCACGCCGCGACGCTCAACACCTTCTCTACCGCCTTGCCCGTCCCCAACACAACCGCCTCGCCCTCCGCCTTAGTGCCCCCGTCGCGGTGAAGCAGATCCACCCGCTGCGGCAGCGACATGCCCCTGGTGGAAGGCACGTTGCCCTTGAGCGCCTTGTCGAGCTGTTTCCTAACGCGGGAGACGACGGCCATAAAGGGCGTCGATGAGGATACGTAGATGAGTCGAGATTTGGAGGATATGGGCTGCTGATTGCGCGGGAGGGCGCGCTTCTGGATCTTGCTGCCTAGGGTGATGTTAGCTGAGATCGGCGATGAGACGGGCGAGGGTGAAACAGGGAGACAGGAACGGTGAAAGGAGGGATGGCGCAAGTACCTTGAGGCAGACGAGGAAGCTTGTCTATTGACACATCTTTCTTTGAGGAGGAGTCGCTTTTGCCAGGTTGGCTCTTGGGGTGAGTCGGCGCCATTGCAGGCAGAAGTGAGTCTGAGTGAGCTGAGGCAGGAAGCCTTGCTAGTTTTTGGTGTTGAGATGAGGAGCCTAGAAAGGCTCAGGCGTACGATGTATATGAAGGTAGTCTCCAACTATGAATTCTTTTTCTTGATAATGATTTGGCCTGAACAAGTCAATAGTATTAGCTGAAGATAGAAGCTGTGAAGATGAAAATGCCTGTCAACGAGTGCATCAATCGCCGCCAGGAACGCAAAAAGTGCAAAAGAGTGGGTCTACATGCATCCGCACCGGTGCAGCATCTGCAGCTCCAGCAGGCCCCTGCTCGAGCCCACTAGCGCGCGTCACCCCACTGACCCCAGACCTCCCACGATGACGAACTCCAATGCGAAGCTCCAACATCCAACCATGAGCTAAAACACCAAACACCTCAATTCGTCACGCCCGCCGCGGCTCCTTTGCAACCTCCAGCCTTGCGGCCTACAAGCGCGTCGATAATACCACATATCCCTCTGAATTCAACAGCAGGCAGTCATGTCTATAGCAATCTGGCCTCCCGTGGCCCCTGACCAGCTCGCCCTCAAAACGGAGGAAACCCTCGTAAGTCCTTCCTGCTTCCCAAGTTCAAGCTCGGTCGCGAGCACGTTTTCGCTTAGATTTCCAAACAAAAAATGCTAATCAGGATCGACCCAAAGAAGCGCGAGCTAGAATGGATCGTCACCGAAACCCACACAATCCTCAGCGACATCCGCCACGGCCTGCAAGACTGCTACGCCCTCCTCGCGCCAATCGACCCGGGCAGCACCCTCGTCATGTCCACGCAGCGTAACGAGCGCGTCAAAGGCACAGTAACCCGCGTCGGCACAAGAATAGTAAAAGGCGTACGCCCCCCATCCATTCATCCCCCCCCTTCCTCTTGACTGACAACCAACCCTCTCCAGGCCATCAATCTCCAGCTCAAAACCCTCCCATCCCAAACCATCGCCCTCGACCCCTCGCACCCAATCCACATCGCCGCCCTCGAGACGATCCACACCCACCTCACAGAATGCCTCGACCTCCTCTCCCTGACCTCCACCCCGCAACCTTCCGCGAACCCCTCTCAGCTCGCCGCCCAACTGCGCATCCTCTCCGCCTCCCTCACCGAGTCCTCCGCCCTCCTCCGCGGTCCGCCCCTCAACACCCCCGATCTCGCCTGGCAGTCCGACTCCTGCCCGCCCATCCACTTCGCCCCGCCTCTCGGGCCCAACATCTCCGTCCACTTCTCCCTGCAGGAGTCGTCCCTTGTGCTTTGGCTGCGCGCCCTCGAGCCCGTCGACGCGCCCCCAAGCTTCGGCACCAAGCTCGGTCTGGCGCTTGGTACGGTCAGAAGGCTGGAGCACGACGAGATGGACCGCCCGTTCCGGTTTGCGTATAGTAGCGTCACAGACGGCGGGGAGAAGCATAAACACGGCAGGGCGCATCCCACGAGCGGGGAGAGCAGTGTCAGTGGCCTGGGTACACCGTCGAGTAGTGGGGAACCGAATGAGGTCTACGTGAGAGAGAAGGTGAGAGTCGAGAGCTTGCCTGATCCAAACTTGATGAGTTTATCGGTCAAGCTGGTTGCGTTGGGGCACACTTTGGCGGGCGCGAGGCGGAATCTTGCTGCAGTGATGGGAGAGGAGGTCGACGAGTGAGGGGTGTACACTAAATTAAGCATTGCATTGGTGGATCAAAATGGCACTCTGGCCGGGTCACAGCATTTGAGGTTATACCCTGGCGTTTAGGAACGGATTCATTTACTCAGAGGCTACAATTTTCAATTCCTATGTTTATGTGCTGGGTTTCCCAGAATTCTGTGCAGTTATAAGCCCTTGGCAACCCCTGGTAATACCATGCAAACCAAAACTGATGGCCCTAGGGCCTTGGTGGCGGGTATGCCTCCATGCGCTTACTACCAGCGCGTGAAGTAGAGTTCAACGGAAGCAATCCGTTGGTACTAATTGTACGTGCATCGACGAGTTAAAGATGGTGTGATAATTCGACATGTGCGACGTCGGGTTCCCATAGCAGCCTAGAAAATACGACACCCATGTCTGATGCCGTCTTACGCAGTAGGCGACCAAGGCATGGGGACAAGGATCCGTGACTTCATCGTCTGAATAAGAGGAACAGTCTTGTGAACGGTCTCGCTCCAACCCTCAACGCTCCAGCTCTTCTCACGACGGATCTTGCGCTCTTCCAGGTTGGCAAATTGCCAGAGGTGGTGGACGGTGTTGAGGTCTCCAATCTGCACGAACCAAGCGCCGACGCCTTCCATGACCTCACGTCTGGCCTTCAGGCCCCGTCTCCAGTGGGTCTCCCACTCAAGCAAGTTACCGGGATGCAGAGTGTAGGATCGCAGCTCAAAGACGCCGCCAAGCTGGCGGGGAGGCGTCGTGGGCCAGAAGGAGAACTCCTGCATAAGAGACGTCTTCTTCGAGGTGATCAGGCTCTTGAGCTTCTTATCGAACGCGGCGAACTCGGGGTGGGAACCAATGTTGTGGATCGACTCGTGGTAACCCTGGTATCTCTGGTACTCCCAAATATGGACTGTTTAAGCTAATGTTAGCAGCTGTTTCGGTCGTGCCTGAGCTCCTTGAAAGTGACATACCAAAAGTGTTGCAGTCGCCAACCTCGGTCCTCCAGCTTCCCACCAGATGGACCTTGTTCTCCGGCATGGAGGCCATGCGCGGGTACCAGTTTCCTACGAGCTCGGTGTACTCGTCGACCTTGTCAGGCTTGACCTCGTGGAAAACGATCGAGTGGACGTATTTGCCTCGGGCAAGGACTTGACTAAAGCTAGCCTCGAGCTGCGCATCGAGCTCGCGACCTTCCTTGGTACCGTAGATGAGGTTGGTCAAGGGCCCGGCCTTCCGCGGAGGCTCCTGGGTGGCCTCGGCCTTCTGTCCTGAAGTAGCAATCACAGATGAGATGCCGTCCTTAGCGGACTCAGAGGCGGAGGGGGGAGGGGAGGACTGATACGCACTTGCTTCCCGTTGCTTCTGCTGTTCGACCAACTGCTCTCGGAACTGCTTCGATTTCTCGTTGAAGGAGGCAACGCTTTGAGGGGCGGCGCTGACGTCCGCCATGGAGGGCACCTTCAGCTGCTGGCTCGTGGTAGAGAATGCTCGCAGCGCGGAACGCGGGGTCACCGCGCCGGCGGCTCTCACCAATGGACGGCTCAGCATTGCGAAAGGTGTTGGAGGAAGAGAGGTAGGTGTAGATGAAAGGATGGGATTGGTGGTTGGTGATGACGAGGTGACCTAGAGGTGTCTTGTCTGCTGCGAGAGGTATGTCGTCCGTCGGGTCCGACAAAGAATGGACAAACAAGCTCTTTGTTTGCAGGTAACAAGCCTCTGGCACGGGAATGTGGAAGGAAGGAAGGAAAACGATATTCGATACGTCTCGATCGGCAAGAAGCAGGAAGCACCCGAGAGCAGGGGTTTATTGGTACTGGATCACAGAACGGGAAGCAAGTCGGCGTGCAGCGGCGGCGGCGACGGGCGGAAGGTGGTGGTGGCCTGGTCTCTGGTAGCAGAACAGCGGTTGGTGGTAGTAGCTGGTGGTAAGGTAGGTAGCTGGGGAGAGGAGGTGCTTGCTTGTTTGTGGTCGAGGTGGTGGTCGAGACCGTGCTTGCGTCTTGGAGAAGCGGCAGAATGGTAGACTAGGCAAATGGGATGAATGTAATTGGATGAGTACGGGCTGATGGTCGGCCTACAACCGTGCGACCTGAGTGTCTTTGAACGTGCTTCCCCCGCACTTTTGAGGGAGGGAGGGAGGAGAGAGGAGAGAGCGCAACGCAATGCAGAGACAGCTTCAGGTAGGAGGTGTGGCAGGCGTCTGTTTGGTGGTGGTGTGTGTGAGTGTAGTGTAGTGTGGCAGGAAGGACAAGACGTGGGAGAAATGTGACACAAGGGAGGAGGACGTTTTGGCTGCTTGCTCTTTTGCCTGCTCGGCTACGACGTGCCCTTGAGTTCCTGCTGCTTGCCTGCAACTCTTTACCGGCTGTGTACTGGTGCTTCTCCTCTCTTCCTCCACGCTGCTGCGACGCTATTCGTCCTTATCAAGCACCACCGTCCACGCCAGCACGCCAATCCATGCTTAGCAAGGGCCCCGAACCTGGGGAAAGCTGACGCCCGCCTCCCACCTCACTTGCAACTGACAGCGACGGCACGGAGCAGCGGGCGCGGGAGCTGAGCTCCTGGGCAGTTCCAGGCACGGTACGTATCCCGGCCAAATGCGCCCAGATGCGGAGAAGGGTCGAATGATGTCACATGGTCCTTGTCAGCAGGGGTGTTCGGGGCCAGAAGGGGCGACGGACAATTGTTTCAGCGATACCCGCCCAGGGGTCCATGTGGGGGAAACGGGACACCTCCCGAGGTGATGGCCCTTAGCAATCAGCTGACTCTGGTGGCATCGCCTTCTCGGGTAGATTCAACGGCTAGATTCAGGTGCTAAGAAAAGCAAATCACAGGCCAGAAACATGAGATTATGATACTGGGGCAGAGGGGCGTCTGAGAAGTCCATCTTGGAATAAACAAGCGGCGGACAATCGTTCCGGCGTTGCGCCGATGTTACCCGCTTCTGTGAGGGTGATACGATTGCTTGCGGCTCTCGTACGAATGGCCCATATCTTTTGTCTTTTCAGTACGGCTGCATACACTGTGTAAGTACTCATATGTTTGTATTCTCTGCAAAGCGTTGAGTTCTTTAAGCAGGTGTTAATAGATCATCGATTGAGGCAACGCGCAGCCGTTGAGAATGAAGCTTGGCTCGAAGGAGTACGTCACGTGATACATCATGCGCATCGACGAATTCCCAATGGAGACACCATTCTTGGTACTCACAAGTTGCGTCAAAAGATGGAGCTACCCGCTACAGATAGCCCGCTGATTGACATTGGCAAGAATGGATCAGTATGTTATCGCCATTACGTGATTGTGATCAAAGAATGAAGCCGCGATGCAAGAAACAACTGCCTCCACAAGTTATCGCTGGCACGTGCGCAGGCTACCTTACCTAAGCGCTCAACTAGCAGTATGCTGCCTCAGGCCACAACCGCCGCATCTCGGCTACGGGTCCAACCGCCGAAAGCTCAATCGGAGGAAAAAGGCTCGTCCTGAGTAGCTTCACATTGAACCCGAAGTCATCAACCGCCCCTCCAAAACCTCGCTCAATTCCACCCTCCCGGTCACTCAACCCCCATCACAAACCGACAAGATGTCTTGGCTCGGAGCTCGCGCCCTCAAGAAGTACCCCACGCCCGTCCGTAAGTCGCCAGCGCCTGCACCACCCCGGTTGGTGATCGCGAAATGCTAAACATCCCTTGTAGTTAAGCCGATGGCGCCCTTCTTCGCTGCCGGTAGGTCCCAACAGCCATCCCGCGATTGATACCCCCCTCCGACGAGAACCGAGACGAAGTGATTGCGATGGGAATCCGGAGGAGGAACAATGCGCGGGAGAGAGAAAGCAGCAGGGACTGATATGTGCGACAACAGGTCTGGTCATCGCCTACGGCATCAACTCTGCCCAGAACGCCATGATGAAGTGTACGTCGCAGCTCCGCCCCCCGCAACGAATCCGTATTGACATGGAGAACCGCAGCCGACGAGTGGAAGAACGACGCCCGCAACCCCCTCGCCAAGAACAAGCACTAAGCGGTTTCTCTCGACATGGGACAAGTTTTCCGGGCTATGGCATAGAAGCATTCGGGGGAGGGATCATACAGACAAGACCCGCCAGACGCGTACTTTACGGACGCTGTACCATAGACTGACGGCTCGGGAGTCAATTGAGCTGTTGTACTAATCCTATTCGATCCTTTGTCCAAGTGATTGGTGCTTCGCGGGGCATGTTTGGCTCGGTGATATCGGGCATCGGCTCAATTGGGTGCGAGAAATGAAGTGCGCTGGAGGACCGCCGAGAAGACGAGCGCTGTCAAGCGATCGTGAGGCCGGGGCATGTCCGATTGCTCCGTTCGGCATGCAGGAGGACGCTCCGGGCAACGGATATCGTCGAGGGGCCCGGACGGCCGGAGCGGATATCACGTGATGTCATCTGACTCACCACGGCGAGCCTTCATCACATCCCAGATGACCTTGAGCTGTAGGCTTCCTCTTGGCGTTGGCAATAAGTTTACATTCAATGTGCCATGTATTATTTGTAGTAACAGACTGTCTGCCCGAGTATTCCATCTGATAACTTATCTCACGCCCTTCGGCATGTTTCGGCGTAGAGTCTTGCGGTGGATTTGTCAGAACCCACCCTCTCACCTCACAAACTTGACCTCACCCACACCAGTCTCACCCAGCTCATAGATGTTCTCATGAGGCTCCCGCTTCACTTTCGCATTAATAGTAGACTTGTTTCTCACAGACTAAATTTCTCGCCTGCCTCAACCTCCCAGCAGCCGTTCCTATTCGCCCACACTTTCACCTGCAAAATGTCCACCACAACAAACCCTCCGCCAAACGGCGCCGCAAAGAAGCCCAACGGAAAGAAAGAGATCAAGATCCTCATGCTTCACGGTAAGATATGTACCCGCTTCCCTACACCTCCTTCGTCAACCTCTCAAACCACCTTTCCCAACCCCGTCTCAAACCACTCAACCTACCCCGCCATCACCCTCTCAACCACCCATCACTAACACACCCAGGATACACCCAATCCGGCCCCCTCTTCCGCTCAAAGACCCGCGCCCTCGAGAAACTAATCCTCAAATCCCTCGCCCCCTTCAACCTCGCCACCACCCTGTTCTACCCCACCGGCCCCACGAAGCTCTCCCCGCGCGACATCCCGGGCTACGAGCCCCCCGCCGACGGCGAGGAGGAGGTCGAGCTCGACGCCTGGGCCTGGTGGCGCAAGGACGAGGCCTCGGGGACCTACCGCTACCTCGACACCGGCGTGCGCGCCGTCGCCGCCGCGATCCGCGAGGCCGGCGGCAACGTCGACGGCGTCCTCGGCTTCAGCCAGGGCGCCGCCTTCGCGGGCCTGCTGACCGCCATGCTGGAGACGCCGCACCGCGATGTGCCCGAGGAGATGCGGCCCTGGGTGCAGGAGCTGCGGGAGGCCAACGGCGGAAAGCCATTCAAGTTCGCGGCGATGTACTGTGGCTTCTTTGCGCCGCCTCCGGAGTTGCAGTGGGCGTATGAGCCGAAGATCAAGACGCCCACGCTGCACTTCCTGGGGAGCTTGGATACTGTCGTTGAGGAGTCGAGGAGTCAGGGGTTGGTGGAGAGGTGCGAGGAGCCCATGGTTGTGGTCCATCCTGGCGGACATTATGTGCCCATCTCCAAGGAGTGGGCTATGCCGCTGATTGGGTTCATCAAGAAGATTGCGGACGAGGAGGCGGCGAAGAGCAAGGTCTGATGGGCATGAGAAACACACGAAGACATGATAGATCACGTTATAGACATAGACGCAAACCTTCATCAAAGCATAGACCGAAACCGTTTTACGCGTCCCAGTCTTGTTCATTGCCTGCCTCTAGTGTTCTACAATTACACGCCATATCCCCGTCCCTGGTAACCGTAAGAACCGTTCTAATGCGCCTTGGTAGCCTTTCCCTTGCTCGACTTGGAGCTTCCACTGGGCTGGATGTTGGCCATCATCTCCTCCTTGGTAATCAAGTGGTCGATACGCTCCAGGTGGCCGAGCAGGCTCTTCATGTTGTGGCTCCACTCGTTGAGAATGTCGTCCGCGTCTCTGGGCTTTGCGAAGCTGACAATACGCGCGGGGCGGTCGATCTTGGCGTAGATGGTCTTGGAGGTGACGAGCTCGCTGATGTACTTCTCGGTCTCGTCCTCGGTGAGGTCCAGAAGCTGTGTCAGGCGCTTCATCTGGATGCGGGTGTAGTACTTGGCCACAACGCGCACGTTGTGCTCAATCACCCTCTTGCGAAGATCCTGCCAGCGCTGGTGCGCCTTCTCGTCTCCGGACTGGCCTGCTTGAGCGTCGAAAACGTCCGTCTCGCAGAGATGCGGGCCAAAGTTCTTGGAGACCTCGGGCCAGCGCATGAGCTCGTGGACGGTAAAGAGCTTGAGGAGCTCAGCCTCTTCAGAGACTTGGCTAACTCTGGTGTCTTTTTGGATTCTGTGGAGAAGGTCGTGCTGCTCGTTGTCGTGGGGAGCGAGGATCACGAAGTAAATGATGCGTTGCAGAACCTATGATAGTCAGAAAACAGATCATCACTTTCAGTGCCACAATAACTCACGGGGTGTAGCTTCTCAGGGTCCTCCTCGACAGCCTCGGTGTCAAGGACCTGGCGGTAGTGTTTGCAGACGTCGAGGTACTTGTCATCGTGCTTCGCAAGGATGATCTGTTGCTCGTAGTACCGCAGCTTCAGGTCGGTCGTGTCGTCCTCCTTCTCCTCAGGGACCTCCTCGCCCCTCGCCTTCTTCTTCTCACGTTCCTTCTTCTCCTTCTCCAGCTGCTCGGCAGTCTTCTTAGGCTTTCGCGAGAGGTATCTGGTGCTGATCTTGCGGCTGAGAATGCCCGCCTGGGTCCAGTCGCCGCTCTCGATGCAGAGAGCAACTTGTGCCAGGATGAACTCGGTCTTCTCCCGACGGTCCATGGAACCGAAGGTCTCCACCTGCAGCTCGCACAGGATATCCGTCGCCGCTCTCAGATCGCCCTGCTTCTTCTTGATGTCGGAGAGGATCTTGGTGACGCGCGCACGCTCGACTTCGACGAAGATCTTGCCCTCAGTAACCGTCCTGAGAGTCTCGATCACGGTGAGCTTCGTTTCGAGGTTCGGTGTAGAGTCGAGGAAGCCCATCACCGCCTGGACCATCTTGGTAATAGCTTGCTTGAGCTGGCCATGCTTCTTGGAGAGAACCAAGACCTGCTCGTTCATCAAGCTCCAGTCCCCGGCATCCTTGGCAATCGTAACAATGGCAATGAGTATACGCGATGTCGACGCAAGATCTGAGGACTGCTGCTGGTTAGCTTGGTGACGTCGGCGAAGGGAGAGGCGGGGTCCTGACCTGGCGGGTCTGCTTCTCCAGCACACTAAGCTTCTCGATGGCAGCTGAGATATCGCTCTGCAAGCAAAGTCAGTCAGAAAGAGCTCCAGGTGCCGGCAATTTGGACGCCGCCCACCTTCGCGAGCTTCTCAGCCTCCGGGATCTGCTTGTCGGTCTCCTTCGAGAAGTCCTTCTCGGGCTTCAGCGCGCCTTCGGACATTTTGACAATTGGTCGAGCTGCTGTATGTGGGAAGTAGTATTGGAGGGGTGAGGTCGGGTTTCGCGGGGTGTCGTGATGGAGGGTCGTGGGATTGTTGATCGATGGGCGAGGCTGATGGGTGTTTGGTGGGAGGCTACCACAGCTACGCAAGATGCTCGTGCCTACCTCACCCTGGCCACCTTAGGTGCTCAGGTACCCGGATTAGGTAAGGCGGGCAACCACCACGGAAGGACTGACCTTTTCCCGACTGTACCTTCTCTGCCCCACCAATGCATGGCCTGTGCGCTTTACCCCTTCGCCGGATTTCGCACACCTTCCTTGACCGAGGTGAGTGCACTTCGTTGAGCATCAAGCTGTGACCGTTGCAGGCGGTCCAAAAGCAAGATTCCAATACTGAATTTCTTTTCTAGTATATTCGGTTGAGATTATGCGTGTTTCCCATGGTTTCGGCTTGATCATAGGTTCAACAGCGCAGCCCAATTGATGGTCACTGGCCCACGGAGTTCACAGCTTTTTTCTCTATTCTGGATGCAGGTGATTCAGCTATGCTACGAGCTCGCTTCGAATCTCTCACTGATCGCAACTGGTTCCTCCAGGATATCTATCAGACAATACCGAACAATACGTGCTTGCGTCAATTTGTCAATTTTAAACCTAAATTGGTTGATCGCATCATCTTCTCTCAATCACCGTACTCAAGGCGGCCCAACAGATCCACGTCACGGCAACATAAAACTGGATGTGAACTTTCGATCAAGCCTATTGCTGGCGCCACGACGGCCTGCAGCAGCGATTTGCATCGCAAATTATTTACAGAAATTTTACGTATTATGTGCTAATTCGTTCTCCAGCTCTCTCCTTAATTCCATTTAAGGGTTGACGGGAGGAGGAGTGTTGTCAATGACAATCGTCGCAGGGGCATTGACCTGGTTGCAGAGCAGGTCACCAAGGCCGCCAGCGTGGCAGTAGGCGGGAACATCGCCCTCACCCCAGAAACCGACACTATGCGGTCGTGTTAGCTATTGAACTGCCAAATTCCCAAAATCGAGAGAAAAACTTACGCAAGGCCGAGCTCGTGGTAGATGCGCAGGGCAAACTCAGACTCAGCACCGGTTCTCATGGTGAAGCGGTACTTGGACTCGCCGCAGGTGATGACCTCGGAGGGCAGCTCAGGGTTGGCGCCGGAGCAGGCCAGGTCCGTCGCATCATCGCCAGACAGGGTGAAGCTGACGTAGCTGAGGGTGCCGTTCACCTGCTTGCGAACGGAGAAGTCGTTGATCAGAATGTTCTCGGACGGCGTAGGAGCGTCGGTGGCCTGAGGAGCAGGAGCCGCAAGGGCGGAGGCGCCAAAGAGGGCGGCAACAGTGGCGAGAGAGAACTGCATTTTGGTGATGTGGGTGGTGTTGGTTGAAGATACTAAAGCGGGAGAGATGATGTGGTGAGCAAGATCGTGAAGTGAGTTGACTAAAGGAGCCGCTAGAAGAGGCTGGCTTGCGGTCCTTTATACTCAGAATGCACAGCTACGATAGATGCAGGCATCCTCGCCAAGTCGGGCAGGGCGGTCGTCGTACAGGTGAGGTTGGTGATTTCGACGTCACCGTCACTTGGGAGGGAACCATTCTGTGGGGAATGCCTGTCCGGTAGGTAGGCCGCGGTACTAAACTCCGAAGGGGGCCAACGACCACCGCCTTCGAATGCGAGGCCAAGAGCATCGGGTCACCCGGTCGAGGGCTTGGAGGGGTCCACTGCGCGGAGAATGTCCAAAAATAGCAACTGGCATGACTAGATTGATGGATTTCTCTGTCCATCAGTAAACATTTCGGACCCGGTGAAGATGAAAGGAGTCTACGGTTCGAGCCCAGCGCGCCCAGCCAGGCGGCATCTTGGAGCCGCAAGCGAAGTTTGACAGGTACCAGGAGAGATAATGACGATGCTGGGGAGGCAAAATGGGAAAGCGAAAGAAACCGAACAAAAGCGAGTCACTGCGATAGGTCCCTTGAGAGCAACGTTGTTTCCCGCTGTAATGGTCGTTGCATTGGGCGACCAGAAACGTGGGTTGAACAGCGACGATCATCTCGTGTTGCTCCCAGCCCTTCAAAGGCTGTTTTTGCCGCAGCGGGGGCGCGGGACCACATCTTGCATTGCATTCTTGGTTAAGCGCAATCTAACCACGAACAGCTGGACCCTGGCGCTGCCAGGCTCGCTGGTGGTGCGTTGTCAGGCCGCGATCCGCGGACCGACCCCGGTAGTGGATGTTCGTCTCTCCTTTATCCGTACATATGATATGCTCCCTTTGCAACAACGAGCGGCTCGGACGATGATGGCTGTTACAAAACTTGGCAGTCATCATAGCCGAAGTTTGATAACACTGAATGAGCCCACTCGGCCGAGTTTTCGGGCATGCACGTACCTGAATGAGGTACCATGCAGTCGCCTCGGTCCCTACGGAAAAGTGCCCAGTGATCCCGGTTGATAATACATCCGCCGTACTACTGACACGATTTCGCAGTAAGTTAACATTAGATGCGCAGCCCATACAAAGTCTGTGTGATAAGTCAACAGAATTCAGCTTGTTTCGATACCATCACCGGCCTCTAGCGTACAACTAACTACAACTAACCATCAAGATCGTCGACAGCGGGCTTCGGAACGGTGTACAACCGACCACTAACCCGACCATTTCCCAACGTTTCCAATCCCTTAGGAACATCCTCAAACGGGAGCTCGTCTAAATGAGGTTTTAATCTTCCAGAAGCCAGCAACTCAAGCACCTCCCGAAACTCTGGTATGCTTGCACTTGTAGACCCCTTGAGCGAAATGTTCTGTGTTACAATCGCCGTTGTTGTGATTTGAATCTTCTCGGACGCCAGACCCACCAGCACAACGCATCCACCAGGTCTCACTGTAGATACAGCCGCCTCAACAATTGCTTGAGCGCCGGCAAAATCCAAGATGACGTCAAACTTCTCTTTAGAGAACTGCGCAAGACTGGTGGAGCAATCAACCGCGCCGAGCGACCGAGCTTGATCGAATTTCGACGTGTTGATGTCAACACCAAACACCCTGGCACCTCTTAAAGCAGCTATGGCAACTCCGTTCAGCCCCAGGCCTCCTAGACCGATGACAGCGACCGTTGAACGGTAATTCACGGCGCCTTCTGTGACGACAGCGTGGTAGGCCGTCGCAATAGAGTCCGTGGCGACCGCGGCTGAAGCGAAGTCGACAGTATCGGGGATCTTGACAAGATTCTTGACCGGCGCAACGGCATACTCAGCGTAGCCGCCATCACAACCGACGCCGAGAGCTTCTTGAAAGTTGCGCTCTTGGATGGGGTGACCGACGCAGGCGACGGCGACGCGGTCGCCAACCTTGAAGTGTGAAGACGGCGGGGTGTCGTCACCAAAGGAGGTGATCACGCCAGCGACTTCGTGACCTAAAGTCACTGGAAGTGCGCACATCCAGGCTGCACCACCGCCGTGGAGGACGTGTGTGTCTGAGTGGCAGAGACCGGCCGCTTTGACTTGGATGAGAGCGTGGCCGGGGCCGGGAGTGGGGACCGGGACAGTCTCGAGACGGAGACCCGCGTCGCCTCCGTGGAATCGAAATGCTTTCATGTTTGGTGGTTCGGGACCATGGAAACTTGGATAAGGGTTTCGAGGAGGGTGCTAAAAATGTGCGTGATATCAAGACGTCAAGATGAATCGAAAAGCTTCTTGCTTGATAGAAAGTTGAGGAACAGTCCAACCACGGTCATTTTGAGTGCTTTTAAACTCGAATCTCGTCTTTATCGATGAAGTTGTAAATGCTTTGCAACGCGCCATGTCTCCACAGGTCATGATGATTCATAATGAGTCGCGGCGTCTATGGCTCCGGAGTAGTCCGTGCTTTGAAAGCCCGCACTCGAGTAACATTAAGGTGCTCAAGGCCCGGGAGATGTCTTTGCCGGACGTCACGCAAGCATCTGAATGATCTTGTAAACGAAGATACAGAGTGTATAATGCCGACGTGTAGGAAGCCCGCGGACAACATTTGCGCACAGAGCGCATGGATTTCTCCTCTTGCCTATTTTTCAACCTTCCCTTGTTCTCTGCATCTTCGGCAACGGTAGTAGACGTATCCGTGGTCCGCAGTCAACGGCAATCTCGGGAGACCCGGGCAGAGTCCCCACTTACGGACACAAACGGCATTGTGAAGTCCGGCATGCGCCTCTTCTTCGGGACAGAGGTGAACCAATATCAGAAAATCACAAAGCCTACTTCTAATGAACTAGTCTGGCCATATCTTGTGATATCCTCATGCAGTTTCCAGCCACGAGCATTCAAGTATTGGAGGGAGACTCCCGTCATGATGCTAGAAATTGTTGCCATGAGCAACCGGTCGTTGCAAGTACTTTGGTTAGATAAGCCGAATTTGATAGAACCACTTGCCTAAACTTCGTAACGAATTGTACATTGCATTCTCCATCATATCTAAACATATGCGCAAGTATTCGAATGTCTGGAACATCACTGGTAGAGGTTTTCGAAAGCCGATACCGCTGGCCAAACACAGGTGAAGCAGTGATTCACCCAGGCATCCCGAAAGGGTCTCACATTTTCGCGACCACTCTAGCCTTTGAAAATGGAGCGAGTAATGCAAAAAGCTGTGAATCACAGCTGGTCACACCTGCATCCCTGACTAATATAAATATGTGGCTTCTCGCAGACTGAAAACGTCACGGTTTCCCGCATCAAACTTTCCAAGACTAACTTACGCCAAGTTTCGAATTATACAATGAAAACACCGACGCAAGATCCAAAATGGACTCCGATAACAAGATGACCACCGTCGATTGGGACCAAGATCCATTGACATTCACCTTACCCCCGGAGGCACAGATGCTCAACCTGCGTCTTCCCAAGCAGTCTCGCTCAAGGGCTCTCTTCACTGTTTCAGCCGTACCCTTCTACTTCACCATCTGGCTGTTGGTGTACGTCTTCTTCTCCTTACCCATCACATGTCTGTCGGTCAACTTCACACAAGCCACGTGCAGCACAACTGGAGGATCTTGGCTCTGCGACGCAGTGAAGAAGATTGAGTGCGGCGGAACGGCAACCAAGCTGATCACATCTCTTTTCACCGGCTACCTGCCCTTGTTATTTGGTCTACTTTAAGTGTCAATGAAGATGCTCGTCACGCGTCCCTGAACACAGGGAGCTAATTCGGTTACAAACACGACCAGGCAGGGCCTCGAAAGAATCGCCGTCTATGATAGGCCGACATATGGCGGACACATTCGACATCCATGGGTCAGAAAATTTTAAACTGCATAGTAAATTAATTACTATCACTATTACTTCACTACAACTGATGTCGTCGAAGCTAATGTCATTTCAACCAATGTCTCTAAATAGTGAACCTAGGCTTCGATGTGATGATGATTGAAAGACGCAGAGGGCCTGACGGCACTGAAGAAGAGTGAAAGTTCTTTATCGAGTCAGCGAGACCTTAAGCAAGATTGGAGAAACAGACTTACTATCGATTGTTCAAAGCCTTAGATAATTATCATCTGACCATACATCTCTAGATCCTTGAGAGCTGGTTCCAAGACTCAAGTTTATAGTCGGTATCTTGTCTCAGCTAGAGGACTGGCTGGCATTTACCTGTCAAGACAATAAATATGGTCTCCGTCATCTTCAGCATCGTCCTTAGTGTCAGACTAAGTTTAGTAGTTCTTCTCTTTCTCAATCTGTTCTGAAAGCCCCTTGAACACGGACACCAAGGCTTCCATAGCGGCGTCATCCTTAGCACCATCCTCGGTGGCAGGCTCGCCCTCGGTGGCAGGCTCGTTCTCGGTGCCAGGCTGAGTGGAATCGTTTTCATCAGCGCCCTCGGCCTCAAGTCTCTCCTGTTCCGCGATTTGACGTTTCATATCCTCCGTGATTAGCCCCAACAAACTTATGCGCCGCCCATCAGGGGTGGTAAACTTTTTTTCTGTGAGAGGCTTGAGGAGAGATCGACCTATCTTGAAAGGAAGTTCAAACAGATCATCGACATCACCAAACAAGCCCAAATTTGCAAGCTCATTGGTGTCAGACTCGGCGACAAGCGCGGCGACAGGCTCCTTGGGAAGGGTAGGCATTGCCATGGCGGCCGAGGCCACGGACAACAATCCGACGAGAGTGGTAGTGGGACGCATGGTAGATGGTAGTGAATTTTGTTGGCGTATTAGACTGAACGGCTGAAGTTATGAGGTTGTTGTGAGGTCCAAGATTTCTGGCAGGCAAGCTGTGATCATCGCCACTACTTACAGTCAAAATGGCCGTCGAGGTGCATGACCTTTTCGAAATTGAGCCGTATCTTTTGATCTGCGTGACCACTTCTAAAGGTGTGCGATTCTACGGGTATGTATGTCTTCCCGGTAACCTAAACTCTGTCGGAGGCGTAAAATAGCCAAGCAACGTTGTCTGTTCACCACAAACGTGCCAACGCCTAGTCAACACATGTCTACCATTGGTGGTTTTTTGAGATAATGCTTTGAGAAGAGTTGGCTGCCTATTCCTCGTAGGTCCTATTACTCGTAAGTTCTCGTGTCAAGAACCTCTAGGTAAACCCACTTGGATGTACCGTTGTAGGTCGGTTGCGACGAGGGCATTTCCACAGCGAAGAAAACCTTGAGGCTGAATCTATCCACATTTTCCCTCTACCCTACTGACATTAGACAACCTGCTTGAACCTTCATTGGGTGATGAGGCGATAGCGAGTCAGTTACGGCTGGAGACTGGCTGCCATCCTTGGCAATCTGAGACGCATCAGACGAACTTGAGAAGCTGAGACGTCTAGTCGTAGTGAGGCCTAGGGTTGGTGCAGCCACAAGCCTCCCTACATAGCTGCCGCATAGAGGTTCGAAAGCCCGGGTCGATTGGTGCCTAGGATCAAGCTTAAGTCTCTAGTTATGTCCTTGCTGCGACTTAACAAGGCCCGTCAACGCTAGTTCGATGACTAATATGTAGTTGTATCATATTTTCCGAGAACGGTGCGTTTCAAAAGTTGGTAACGATGAACTATACAGCCGCATGACAAGTTGAAATAGCTGAGATATTACCATTTTAAGGAAACAGGCCTTGACTTGATCTCAATCTTCGGCTGTTCTTTCTACATCATCTCTGACATCCTAATGTTTTCAAAATCTGGAATTATCACCTTGGCGCTCTCAGCCTTTACAATCGCCACACCAATTACAGCCAGCCCCTTTCAAGAGCAAGCCTCCCTTTCCGGGTACGTGAGAATTTGACTGACCACGCTCGCAGTACCGGTGAACGAGACCCTCAAAAGGGCCCATCGCGGTTCTCGTGCAGCTGCGTCAACGGAAAGAAACGGCAGATGAAGGCACCAATCTGCAACGGTGCCGGTGGCGCCACTGGTGTAAACTCCAACAAGGACGGAGAGGTGTGCAACAGCCTAGTAACCAAGTTGGCAACACAGGACTGCCAAGCATTGATTGACCCTTAGTCTCCCGTCGAGTGCGTCCAAACTGGCTAGGAGAAACCTTACTAGAACATATAATTTCGCATAGTCATGGTCCGCAATCTAGCACCATCTTCATGAACTTTGAGACCCGCCCTTTCGGGTGCCATGAGTGTCCGCAACATCCGTTCAGGTGCTCGTCGCCTCAATACCATCTGTGGCGTACTACTCCTCACTGCGGCCGCTTCGTCCTGCCTTACAGCTGGATTTATTCCCAACGAATCTGTACCAGAGTCCCTCGTCTGGAACTCCCATTTTGGTTCTCATCCAAGGATGAATGACCATGTTGAACGCGGCGCCCGCACCACTGCAAAACATGATGAACGCGTAGTGTCCCACAGTGCCTAATATTGTATTTAAGCCAGTAATCTTCAAGCCCATTCTTTCGTGGAATTGTGATGGTAAGTGTTGTGTGAGCACTGAGCAGTGGCTTGTGGAGCGGTTGAAGCTTACTTGCAGTTACAGAATGTGCCGCGATTCCTGCCACACCAATAGCCGGCGTCGAAATCAGCACCGGAAGACCAACAGCAATGAGACCCGCGGTAGCGATACCATAACACATCGCCGGAGCGAATTTGTTGCGGAGCCAGCCGTTCCCTTCCTATTCGGTGTGTCAGATACTTGCGGAGTTCTCACAGTTTTGTAAGGGCTGACCTTGGCTTCCAGCCCAAGGTTCAAGCCATCGATTGAGGTTACGGCCGGTGACGTCGACCTCACAGGCTCGCCCTCTGAGCTACTATCACGGTCACGGTTGAAAGGTTGACGGCTTTTAGACATGATGACTAGTAATGTAGAAGCTGATCGCCAGAGTTTGAGGCGACGCAAAGGTCGGGATTTTGAGCTGCGCGCACGGGTCGGTGACAGACTCGGGAGCACGTGTATGAGATCTAGTGCTGTTGCCTATCTTTCTCCAAACGATTCGCCAGAAATGGCGGCCACGATTCAACGCCTCTCAGCTGACCCTGATGTTGCCGCCTAACTGAAATAGGTGCTGCATGGGCTAACAACCCGGGCAACATGTGGACTTGGCGCTTGTTGGCGGTTGGCTGCCTTGAAGCCACCCATGTTGGAAGGTTTTGGGCGCATGCGAGCCAGCACACTCTTTGAATAAAACGCTCAGCCCCATTATTCCCGTGCCACGACGTGTGAGCTGAGTCCTCCATGTCGCCCGAATCTTTTCCGGAGCCCCTCAAGTTCCGATCCAAAGCTCCGGGCTTCGCACCCCGGGCTGGTCCAGTTTTCTCGGCACCTAGCCCTGGCGTACCCCGGAAAGCTGGTGACAAGAAAACCGGATATGCTGAACCGCACTTTAGCAGCTTTAGCAGGAGATGCTTGTATTCACCTGGGTTTTGAGTTGCTTGGTTGGTATACTTTAGTTAGTATTTTTCGAAACAGCCATTCAATGTCTCTAGCCATTCCATGTCTCTAGCCATGTTTGTCAGGCCCCTGCCTGGTTCCAACAGGCGAGTCGCTCTGGGACAGAGCTGAACAGCAACGGGTTGATAAGCTTGTCGTAGCAGAAGAAGGAGAAGACCCTTTTCTGAATAGCGGAAGAGGTACGAGAGACATCTGGAAACGAGTCGAGAGAGATAACGCCAAACAAGAGGCGTTGTATGCTGCGGGTCGGCCTGGAGGTTGCATCGTGGTTGAATTGTGAAATCAAGGACAGCTTAAATCCAGTTCAAGCCTCCGATTGGCTAAAGATATGCGTGCCAAATCTGCTTACAAAGTCATTTCCACGGGTATCCGTGAGCCTATCAGGAGCCCCCTCACTATACCTAAGGCTGATGATTGGCAAAGGAATTGATTTATAATCAATCTGCTGCTGTCTATGCATGACGTCAAATGGGATGAGATTTGGCAGCTGATCAAGTGCCGTCTTAGAAGATTTCAGGTTTCTCGAAGCTGCTTTTGAGTAGTGAAGAAGTTTGGCCCAAGCCTTTTGAGGGTTCTTCTCGCAGCCTCTCGGGTAGATACGACCATTGCACAGCAGGTCATGGAGTCACAAACGGGTTCCAGGGTCCAGCCTAGTCTTGGGGGATGGGGCCAGCAAGCCATTGTTCATGTGAGTTGACCCGAAGAGTTAACATCATGTCGCCTCTCTTGACACTGCAAAATAAGGCTTGTGACATGTGCCGCAAGAAAAAGATACGCTGTGAACCTACCACGCAAGGATGCGCTCAGTGCACCAAATATCGCACAAGGTGCCATTTTACGCCAATTGCAATGAAGAGGAAGCCTCGAAGACCAGCTGGGTTAGTCTGCTACTCTAGCTCATATAGCTTGCGCCTGTTGAACATTCCGCAGCTTCAAATACATCGCACAGCTCGAAGAAAGGCTCTCAGCACTAGAGAACATAAAGTCTCACGGAGACAAGTCTACTGTGCCTGGAAACAGTCCGCGTGAAGAGGAAACGACTTCCGCAGTATCACACAATATAGCGTCACTGATCACACTCCCGAGAGAAAGTAATTCATGGATCCCAATGAACGAGTCACCTATTCCGTCACCAAAACACACCAGTAGTTCAGGGTTTGATCTTGACGTTGCATTGCGCGCACAAAACCACGGCCAACCCGAATTTTCCACCATTCATGGTTTTGTAACTGACCCTGTAGCTGGCGGCCCATGGCCTCATCTTGCTTCAGAGTCACGATCAGTATCTTTACCAGCGCACGGGCAGCTTCCCTCAAAGGCAGTCGCTCTGGAGCTGGTCCAGGAAACTTTCAACAACTACAATAGATTCCTTCCGCTTTTTGACGAAGAGGACTTCTTGAGAGAGTTCAACCTCAAGTACTCGACTTCCAACCCCGAAGATGCCAGTTGGTGGGCGTGTCTCAATGTCGTGCTGTCAATAGCTCATCGTCTCCGCGGCCTGCGCACATTGAACCCAACGCATGAGAACAATCTAGCGGGTGTTTACATAAAAAACGCCCTGAGCGTCGTCTCCGAGTTGAACGTCGCTAGCATCTCTGCCGTCCAAGCTCTGGTGGGTATGGCTTGCATTCTTCAGGGGACCCCGAATCCGGAGCCGGCCTCGATGCTCGTCGCCGCCGCCCTACGCCTGGCACAGGCTCTGAATCTGCACAGAGAGGCTTCCGACCCAAGGCTCACTGAGAAACAAGCGGAGATACGGAGACGGGTGTTTTGGAAGGTATACATCCTTGACAAGGATGTCAGTCTACGGACGTGTCGACCCTTCAGCCAAGATGATGATGACATGGATGTCCGACTGCCATCAAATACAAACCTCGACTCATGTAACGTGGAACTCTTCAACCATCGCGTGGGACTTGCGGTTATTCAGGGTCAGGTGTACAAGCAATTGTACTCGATCCGGGCTGGACGACAAACGGAGGCACAAAGGGCAATTGCGGCACAAGAGTTAAGTTCTGTGTTGTCCTATTGGAAGTCCAGTGCGCAGCTGGAACCCCCCGAGGACTTTCTGATTTCGTCAGGATCCCAAGTCGCAGGGGAGATGATCCACAAGGTGGTTCTACGACTCACATATATCCATTGTCTGACAATGATTGATCGCCACTTATCCTCGACGGCGCGATCTCCCTTGGACCAAGAAGTCGGCCTGTCTGGAATATCGTTACCCCCAGGCAGTTTGTGCCTCGCTGAGTCACGCAAAGCGATCCGTCTCATTGAAACCATCCCTCATGGAGACTGCTCCTGTATCTGGTAAATAATCTCTTAGGATCCACAACCGTTCTGTATTCTTTCTTTGACTCATTATAGGATGCTTCTTCACTGTTTCTTTGCTGCAGCCAGCAGTATACTCTACAATCTAACGCAAAACCCGACATCGCCGAGCGCATTCTCAGACCTCCATCTCCTCAAGCCATTTCTACATCTGCTAGATACGCTTGCCAATGATCCAAGAGCATACTCACGATCCGAGGAACTCAGGCGTATGCACAATACTTGCACTGACTTACACAACGAGGCAAACAAGGCTGTTCATCTTTTCAGTCTAGAGTATACAGCGGTATTTGAGTAACTATTTCAGCGTGATTGTTTTCAAAGAAGACTACATCGGAGTTTCACTCGCCCATAGCAGCAGGATAGATGCTGTAATCCCAGTGCGGGTTCTGCAGGATGTTCGGGATGGCTGGACTAGCTTCTCGCGACCCAAACGAACCGGGAGAAAATATTGAGATTCAGTCTGTGTCCGCAAAGGAACATAGTAACGTGACATATTGGGAAAGGGGGCGTTCAATACAGTAGTCACTTATCCACGGTGCTATTTTACAACTCGGTGGATAGAAGTGGCCGACTTCACACCATTAATTAACACCCAAAATACACCCATGCACAACACGATACGAACGGCAAATGAAGTTTCCACAGATGATCTGATTATATTTTCGATACGAACAACAGCCCCTCTCCAGCTCTACCCACCCTCGCAGCAGTGACTCGCCCGAGCAAGATGGAATGACCCCTCCAACAATGACTCACGCAGACCTAATATTTTGTCTCTTGGAGCTTCAGGACCTTTTGCACACTCGGGCGCGCAAGCATGTTGTCGTGCCACTTCTTGACCTGCGGGAATTCATCCTGATTGAACTCGACGTCCGGGATTCGCGGCGAGGCGGTGTGCTGCCACGTAAAGAAGGCAATATCCACGTACGAGATCCGCCCGCCCAAAAACCAAGAGTTGCCGTCCGCGTCAGGGGCCTGTTTTTCCAGGTGCCCCTCCAGAACACCGGTCACGCGGTTGACCTCCTTGACATAGCGCTCGCGCGCCTCGGGAAGTGGCTGATAGATAATAAACCACATCGCCTGCCCATAGTACGGTCCCTGGCCGGTGGTCTGGTAGAAGAGCCACTGACGAGCGTGGTAGGCCGCAGCTGTGCCCGGCTCGAAGCTGAGCTTGTGAGCCTTGTCGTATGTGTCGGTTAAGTACTCGATGATTGCGCCCGACTCCCACAGGGTTAGGTCTGTGTTGGGATCCTGGATGGACGGCAGCCGGCCGTTCGGGTTGATGGCAACGTATTTGGGGTTCTTGACATCGTTGAGAGGGATGATTTCCGTCTCATATGGGATTCCGAGCTCCTCGCAAAGGACAATGACCTTGCCAGCGTTTGGGCCATGGACTCCCAAGACTTTGATCTTCTTCATGTCCGTCATTTCGATTGAGGTGTATCAGGTTATCTAAGAGTGAATTGTAGGGTAAAAGTTTGCAAATTCCTTCAAGCGGTGGTTGATGGATAACAAAGCACAAGATAGACGGGCTTCTGATCTCGTTTTATGTGCATCACCGTCTCCTCCCCGACAGTCCAAAGTACCTATATTGATGAACTCTACTGCTATTGCTCTTGAAAGTATACAATACTCATCATGTGCGGGCTTGCAAGTTGGCAAATGTTGGCAATGCTACACAGGAGGTCTATCTCAACCGGATGCACTCAAGGAGCCAATGCATAGCAAATATCCAAGCTTACACAACCACAAGTCAAGAAAGTCAGCCGGAGCGGAGGACTCGAAGACAAGACAACCATTGGTGATGAACGGGATTGGACGTCAGGCATGCAAGTTCGGATCCTCCGAAGGGTCCGGGTCCGTGATTATTCAATGAATCCCTGAATCTGACTGGTCGATCCGCGATTGGCTTGCATCCCTACTAGGCCTATGAGTTGAACCTCTGTAAGCAGCACAGATCCAAAGCAGCGAATGCTGCATGCTTACAAACGCTACTAGCACAAGCAGCGCCGCCTTGAATCACTTGAACGATTTCCAATTGCGCATTTCAACCCCAAGTCCCGATCTTTGTCTCAATCAGAAGATGAACGTATATATAATAGACATAGGCGTCTTGCTTTCTTACTTCCTTATTCTACTGCACACCGTCAGACTTCTCCCTCACATCTCCAATCATGCCCGAAAAATCTCCTGTCGTTCTTATCCTCGGCGCCGGGCCCAAGGTAGGCATACCAGCTGCCAAGGCCTTTGCCTCAAAAGGCTACAAGGTTGCCATCGCAGCCCGGTCGCTAGACGAGGCAGACAGCACAGACGAGCAACTCAACATCAAAAGCGACTTCGCCAACCCTGAGGATGTTGTCAGAGCCTTTGAAAAGGTCAAAAAAGAGCTGGGGATCCCAAGCGTAGTCATCTACAACGGTACGTCTTAGCACCAAAGGACTCTAGCTGAATGCACTGCTAAGGTTTCCGCAGCCGGCGCCGCTACGTTCTCTCCCCCAGGCGACCCCTTTGCTATATCGTTAGATTCTTTCCAGCGAGACATGACCGTCAATAACACCAGTGTCTTTGTCGCAGCCCAACAGGCCGTTCTCGGCTTCGCGGACCTGCCTGTCAATGCTCCGAGAACATTCTTCTTTACGGGGAATATCCTTAACGTTACAGCCCTCCCGCAGTTCCTGGAGTCAGGCGCTGGCAAGTCGGCGTCTGCGCACATGATGATGGCTGCTGCCGCTGAATATAAAGAGAAGGGATTCAAGTATGCCCTCGCCACCTTGCTTTACTGACTGTGTGGACGTGACTAAGAGTTTGCAGATTTTACTATGTTGATGAACGGAAGGCGGACGGCTCGGCGGCCTTTAAGATTGATGGAGAGGCGCACTCTACACTCTTCTTGGAGCTTGCGGAGGCGAAGACGCAGGGCCCATGGTTGCAGACCTTTGTTAAGGGCATTGGATATAAGGATTTTGGACCCTATCGACTGTAACGTTGTTGCATGCGCCGGCCGCCGTTCACTAGTGTATTCTTCTCAATATTAGATAGCTTAACTTTGGTGGGTTTAGACGCTCTACGTCATACAAATATGCTGTTAGGTATTATATAATCCTTCGCCCTCCCTCACTCGTCACACCACCTCGTCTCTTCAATGTTCGGACTTCTCAATTACGATAAATGTTTCGAATTGCTCACCCTACATGGCAAGATTCAGTTATTGAGGCAGCGAGCTGGAAGGCTTAGCTTACAGATAGAGAAATGTATCATTCGATGTTGGGCTGTAGAGTCTTCCGCCTGAAATACATAAATGCAATCCCCATCCAGCGGTTCTCTACAAAGAGAAAAGGTAAAGGAAAATTCCACAACGCCTCTGGGCACAAAAGATGACATTGACGTTGGGTGCGCTTCAGCCTTTGCAAAATTAGGGGAGGAAGTGGTGATTAATGAGTCGACAAGAGTTTCCATTCAAGACTATTAGAACGAAATCACGCCGCGCGTCATAACTTGGACAGAACCGACGGAAGATCTACGGCGTTTCTCAAACATTGGCCGCGGCCACAGCTATATAATATCCGTAGCCGTTGGATGTTTGTCAGACCCCTGTCAGGCTCCAACAGGCCTTGAACACAGAGCGAGTTACCAACAACCATTAGCCGCCGCTGGGAAATTCTCAATTTCAGGTTTTTGAAAAGCTATCCGGAATCCGATTCCAGTTCGCTGTGCTTCTTTCGCCGTCTTCCTTCTCCTCTGCCCTTTCTTCTCCTCATGCAGTCTTAGTGTCCCCTCTCATAGCTCACAAACCTCTGAATCCCTTCCCTGTCTTTTTCGCACGCCATGTCGACGAGAAGGCAACCAAGGTTTCCCTCTTAAAATATTGTCAAATACTTATGCATCGTCATAGTTCTGCCGGAGCATACATTACAGTGAAGTCCAGTCATTCATTTTTAATTGACTTTTTGTCGAAGTTCTGTCGATTGTTTGAGGCCAGACACAACCCGGACCATATTCTATTGCTACCCTACACACCCCCTCATGGATTATGCCAAGCTTAGAGGCGCAGTTGGTGCAGCGCGGAGGTGCATGCATATCTAGAATTCAATTCTGGCTTTCAAATATCTTGTTTGTTTCCAGGAACTGGCTCTTGATTACTGTATTCAAATGGCTTTTTGATGGCTAACAGTGTTCTTGTCTGGGTATAAATATGAGCTGCCCTACCGATGAGCTTTTTATTTCACCAAGACTATTTCCATTCAGCATTCAACGTTTCCAACTATGACTAAACTTCAGGTAGGCCCGAGTTCTTCCACCTTCCTTTTTTCAACGTATCCGGGTAGGAGAGGTCTCCTGACTACCCTCTACCCTCTAATTTTTCATCCCATATCAATCTAGGTACCATTCGCTTCACATGACTCCTAGAAACTCATCACCCATCATGTCATCTGAACGTGGATAGGAGGGGAGGAGCGCCAAAGTCGCCGCTCTTACCAAGTCCTGGAGTATACTTAAGGTTGTCGAAGTCGTCTACCTCTGCTAGTCTGTCCCTCCCCCTCACGACCACTCACAGCTCAAAACCTGTGAAGCAAACTCAACAAGAGTTTACAACCTCACAACACCTACAAGTGAAACAAATCCTGTTCGAAATATGTTCAGCTGACTTTGAGATTCACCAGAATCTCCAAATTCCTACAACTGAGGAAAACCACCTCATGAAGTCGTGCCCGCCGCTTGAAAACAGCAAACAGTGAGCGTCCTTTATCTTTCCATCTTCTTCTCCTAGGAATCATGGAGATCAGCTGGGGCTTCTTGAACGGGAAGCGAACCACGCTCCCGCTTCCAATCTGTCGTGTGAAATCAGTGCTCCATCACCACCCCCTTTTCCACTATAAAAGACAACCTCTCTCCCATCTTCTCACGAAAAGAACAGTACCAAAGCATCACATCCACTACCCATTCTCAGGCTTCAAAGCGTTCCCTCACCCTTTGTCAACAATCAAGGCGGCTGGTCCTCCTTTACTCGTCAAAACACATTCTCTTCGGTTCCTTCTAGTCCATCCTCCATCATGGACGCCCTCGATCAGTTCTCCTTCTCCGCCAGTATGAATGAGATCAACCAGATCGAGATCTGCCAGCTTCAGGCTGAGGTCTGTCGTCTGGCTACCGAGAACCACGACTTGGCGCAGCTTCAAGAGGTCGACCAGGAGCAAATCATCAAGCTTCAGAACGAGAATGACAAGCTCAAGCGCAGCAACGCCACCAAGGATGCCTTCATCGTCGCCCTGATACAAGAGAAACAGGACCTGGAAGAGCAGAACGCCCAGCTTCGGTCTGAGCGTTACCTTGGGGATCAAAGACACAACAACTCGAATTTCTCCCACAATTCGACCATGCCACAAGCCTCTGCGCCCATGACACCCTTGTCACCTTCAGAGACGCTTGTCAACGAGCCAGACGATGAGGACTTCGACGCCATGGACGTTGATGAGCCGACTAAGGGCGGCGAAATCTCTGTTTCTGACAGCGGATTCGAGGGCTACGAATCGGAAGGTGTTTGGGATATGGTTTAGGTTCAAGCCTCAGAAGTCGCTATGAATCGAACTTTGTAAAAGGGTTGTGGAAGGTACTTCACGGCTACGCGAAAGCAACGTCCGTTGTGGCTGCATACGGGCGGGACCTGTATGGCTGGGCGTTGACGCCGTTGGAACCATCAAGCTGGGGTCGTGAGAGCGAGACTGCAGGGAGGAATTCATGGAGCATAGGCAATTTGGAATTTGAGCACATGGCGTGATGACATTGCTTTCAAGGTTGAGGAGTACGTTAGCAAAGTATAGCTTAGCAAAGTACGATTTGCATCCAATTGAAGTCCATTATTTACACACCTTACGATGTGATCCTTCGCTGATCTCCAGCGACAGGGATACAATACCTTAATTAGCCCAAATCATCTGTATCCTCTTTCCAAACGCATGCTTATTTTGGAGTTGCAGGGCCAAGCTTCCCATGACTACTACCCTACCCCGTCGAGCAACCCAATAATTATGGAACCAAAGCCTGTATCGAGTGTTGCATATTTCGCACCCTCATCTATGCGTTGAGGTCGATTGGAATGACGAAGAATTGCCGTAAAATGTCTTTTTTCTTTATTCATCTACACATCAAAGAACCCAACGTGGCATCAGCCAACTTAGGTGCTGCTGGTAGCAATGAGCTGCGACAGCCCCAGGACCTGAGCGGTGGTAATGACCTCAGTGCTGGTGTTGAAGCCCTCCTTGAACGGCAGACGCTCCTCCTCGAAGACAATCTTCATCCACTCCAACGGCGCAGCAGGCTCGGAGAAGCTTCCACCCAATGTACCAAGGATAACAGCAGACTCTCCCAACGAGACGGTGACCTGGCTGCTGGTCAAGTTGAAACTCGGGTTCGTCGCCTGGGCCGTCGCGATCCGCTTGCTGCGCGCCGTCGCCATCGTCGCCACGTTGACTTTCTCCTCCGTCGCGGCCGCGCCCTCGGTCAGGTATCCGTACGTCTCGTCAAAGACGGACTGGTTGAAGGTCTTTGCGTCGCCCGTGACGGCGAAGTCGGCGCGCGACAGGCTGCCGTCGTGCTCGATGACGTTGTGCTTGGCGATGTCGTCGAGGTTGAAGGTGTTGGCGTCGCCGGTGGTGGAGGTGGCGAAGGCGGGCGTGCCGAGGGTGCGGACGAGCGACTCGTTGAAGTTGAGCGCCTTGCCGAGGCCGGAGATGAGGTTGTCCATGCTGATAGCGTTGCCGTCGCGCGGGAGGTAGCCGTGGTTGGCGAGGGAGTTGAGCATGGGGCACGGCGAGCGCTTGGCCGCGGCGTCGGGGGCCTGCCAGGCGAAGTTGGGGTCCTCGTCGCGGGGGACCGCGAAGGCGCTGGTTGAGGCGGCGCAGGCTGCGGCGGCGACCATGACTGAGGCACGCATGTTTTCAGCGGTGTGGGGGGATAGGAGTCTCGGATGGAGAAAAGAGTGTGTATGTGATGTCTAAAGCACTTCAACGAGAGTGGTGGCTTACTGTGCCTGGTGATGAACGAAAGTTATGTACCTGGTATAAGTGGTAATCCGAAACGGAGGGACTGTCGTTGGTCAAGGCCGCAATCAAGATTTTATAAGACTTTATAAGACTTGTTGCTTCGTCAACATATCGAACGATCTAAGGCCGCCCACAACAAAAGAGGATATATCAGTCCTTGGCGCAAGGGGGGCAAAGGGGCTGAAGAAGAACATCCGAGGCATCGGCCACCGGGTGCGACCGAGAAAACGGTGAGCCCGATAGGGCCGGCCCCGCTGCCGCGCCTTACGTGGTCCCCGAGGAGCCCGGGTAACCGGGTTGTCCTGCGCAGACCACGCCTAGCGGCACCCACGATCCCACCTCTCATCTATAATTACTTATGCTAACACGGAGTTCATCCCTTTTTCTCGGAGCTTTGCAGCGCTCGCCGCACCGTCGGCTGACCATTCGTGGCACCCCTATTGGCCGGTGGGCATTGCTGTGTTGATGAAACGGAGATCGAATGTCGCTAGAAAAACTCAAAGAGAGTGAAAAGTCTTGGAAGGCTGGCCATCTGGCAAGGGCATCCCATGGGGTTTCAATTTGGCGTTCCCGGAATGCGAAAACGAGTCAGACGTTTCCGCGGCTGCCCATTTTCAGCGGGAAAAAAAGAAAGGAACATTAAACGTGGATTAAACATGGGTTGTTCGGCAGACGCACGGAGGCAAAGACATGATGTGGGTCAACATCAACCCCTTCACCCACAAAATCTCGCTTCGAGACGCTTCAAGTAAACAGATTTCGCCGACATCTTCGACAATTATCAAATGCCTCGTTGGCTTAGTGGTACAGCGCCTCACTAGTAATGAGGAGATCGCCTGTTCGATTCAGGCACGAGGCAGCTCGAGATCTTTTTGCTTGTTGTGCCTCTTGATGTATCTTGCTTGCATGCTTAAAGACTCTTCCGACTTATTTCATGGCACCACAGCTTCCACAACCGCCTCCACAACCACCACCGCACCCTCCGCCGCAACCGCTTCCGCACTCTGCACCGTCACTCGGGGGACAGCACGATGTGGGATGGTTGCCGCAGTCTGCGCAGCGAGGGAAAGCAAGGTCCGCCAGGGGGAGCAGCTCGCGTTGCCTCTCCTCATCACGTAACCTGCTGTCAACAGCGTCGACACTGACGTGAGCCCTGCCCGCTTCGCAGGTCCAGCAGAGACAGGCATGATACTCCGCGCCAAACTCCTCGCGCCAGAGGCCCTGCATGTCCGTCGACAGCTCCTGCAACCTGTCGGCGCTGATCTCGTCGTCGTGGTCGATGAGGCGGCCGGCCATCTTCTTGGAGTAGGCGCGGTAGCGCAGCGGCGCGAGCTGGTGGGTGTGCCAGACCAGGTCGATGTCCAGGGTCGGGACCATCACCGTGCCGGGGTGGGCGCCGATAAGGTGGAAGAAGTTGCGGTAACGTTCGACGGACTGTGCGAGGGTGGACTCTGCGGTGGGCGAACGCAGCCAGGCGTAGCGGGACATCTTTGTGGAAAAGTCGAATTGGCGGTTGATCGCCGCGGCGAGGTCGTATGAGAAGAGCACCGTGCCGGCTGGGCTCTTGAGGTTGAAGATGCCGGTGGATTGACGGCCCTCGGCGACGAGAGACTCGAGGGTGCCGTCGGCCTCGATCAAATCGAGGAATCCCGACAGGGTGATGTCGATGTCGACCGCATTCGACTGTGTCAGTTGTCAGCACAGGCGAAGCTTGAAGCGACTCAAGGCCTTGAGTGTCAAGGCCTTGAGTCAGGAATTGTGCAAATGCGTGAACTTACGACTTCAGTCCAGTCCAGGCCGTCCAGGCCGAGACTGCCGCCAAGTTCGATAAATCTGGCGTACGCCTTAGGGTGCAGCATGAGGGCGTGCCACGCCATCAAGGCGTCGACGGGAGGCTGCCCCCTCTGCGTGCTGGTGGACCATTTCTCGAAGCGGGAGACGGCGCGTCTGCAGTACAGATCCCAGCCTTGCGCGGCGGTGAGATCTGCTTCGTCGGCGAGCAGCTCGACGCTTCTGCGGAGCGCGACGAATGCGTCGAGGAGTCTGAGGTGGGTTGCGCAGTCGGCGGTGCTGGGGACCTCGCGCTGTGCGATTTCTTGGTCCTTGATCGAAGCGTCGAGCTTGACCTTCTGCTCGTTCCCGACGGGAAGAACTCTGTTATCAGAATGTGAGTATGAATTATGAATGTCGCGAGAAGCACATATGTATGCGACAGGGGCGACGAACTGGTCAGCAAAGATGGCCGGCATTTTGGCGGTGATTACTATGGGAACCGGCCCTGTTGATGATTGTCTATGAAGTGATGTTGGAGCTTCGAATTGAGTTTGAACGACACACGACACGATGAGATGAAAGATGCAGGATCTTCTAGAATTATGAGGGAACAGACAGCTCCTTTATCAGCTCGCCCTCGTCTTCTTCACAAGGACAGAGAGCTTTATCAAGATGGGCCGCGTAGCACATGAACACAAGCAACAGCCCTGTGACCAGCCTCCGAATCCCAAAACGGCATGGAGGTGAGCAAGTTTCAGGACGCCAGCGCAAGACGGATTGCTGTGGCATCATCCTACGCCGCTGCTGATTGGCGCGTCGCGGCTGTACGGGCTGAGTGCTGCGGGGAAGGGCTGTTGGAGGAGCAGGCGGGGGATCCTTGATAGCGCTTGTTTAGCGGGAGGTGGGAGTTGCGGTTGCATGGCAAACGAAGGAGCGGGAGTGGGGGCCATGTGCAGAGCAGGGGATGGCTTTGGCCCGTGATTCTTCAACTCTGCCGTCTTCAACTTCCTTTTGAAGGAGTGAAGAGCCTCAAATGGGGGATGTCATGAGAGCCTTGTGATCCAGAGACTTGATGATGACGGGAGTGGGTGCCCGCTTCTCTTTATCATCTTCTGCCCCAAGTGGCCAAGCCACCGTGACGCCCTGCCTGAAGATAAGCCCGCCAAGATCCAAATGAGGACCGCAGACCCGACGGTCTTCGAGCAAACATTGACGATCAAGCATCCGGTCCAAGGTCCAGAGCCTGGCTCGTACACCCTTCCATTGATCTCACGAACAATGTGTTTCCACCTCTCACCAAGAAACACAGCAGCAATCGCCGGCCCCCATCTCCTCATATGTGTATCTCCCACGGCCGCAAGCCCGTCAGCAGTGCGACTACCACAAGCAGGCTCCGTCTAGTCTCCCTTGCATGTTGGGGTGATGCTTATCCTCACCCAGACAAATAAGAATCACGATCACTTCACCCTCCTTCATCGACAAGGTCCAATGGAAGCACCCTAGCTCCCGCGCCCGCCCATGTTGTCCTGATTCAATCATCGGCCAGACCGGCCGAAACGGGCATGTTGAGGCTTTTGCGTCGCCCGCCACTGCAGCGACGTGTGTGAGCCCCAGGCTGCGCTCCTCAGCTTCTTGCCTGCGCGATTTGGTTCCCCCATGTGAGACTTCCGCTGATGATGTTTGGCGGGCATGAGAGCCTTCTCGACCGTCCTGCTGGGTAACCTGGGAGGTGTTTGCTGTCA